CATACGAGGTGTGGTAAAGGTAATCCTTCAGAAGGTACATTTTATAATTTTACTTTGATAATAAGGCCGCACTTGTGGCACGTGTAACCAGAGAGAGAGAAGTGTGTGCCACTGAAGGGGTGAAGGTCATTGACGGACAGGAGTCTCAGTCTTGTCAGCCCTGCTTCTTCCAGGAATCCACCCTGACTGACCTCATTCTGCTATGGTAACGATTTTATCATTTGTTGAGGAAATCTCTGAATAGAAAGAGTAAACAGTGATCTAATACTAAATTTCTTTCTGGTCCCTTTCCGTATAAAGATTAAGTATAATTTGGCTCCCCGGGATTGTGCACTGAATTAATTGGCTCTAAATGCTTTAAGAGTCAAGGTCAGGAACATATATACACCCCAGGCATGTCTTGTGGATGGATGGAATTTACATTCTCTGAGGAGGAGGCTTGCAGAATCCCAGACTTCAAGTTGGAAGGGGCCTTTGAGACCAAACTGCTAATGTTTTTAAATGAGAGAGTAGGAGTTTAAGTAACTATCCTCTCTTGGGGGCTGAGCAATGGTAAAACCAGGGTGGGGCAAAAGTAGATTTACAGCTGTAAGTATTCGAAATACATTTTAGTCTTGAATTATTATTTATTTTACTAGAGGCCCGGTGCATGAAATTTGTGCATAGGGGAGGGGGGAGCCACAGCCTGGCCTGTACCCTCTCTAATCTGGGACCCCTCGGAGAATATCCAATTGCTGGTTTAGGCCCGATCCCACAGAGATTGGGCCTAAACCAGTAATTGGATATCCCTCTTGCAATCTGGGACCGCTAGCTCCTAACTTCTCACCTGCCTGCTTGCCTGATCACCCCTAACCACTCTGCCTGCCTGCCTGATTGCCCCTTAACTGCCCTCCCCTGCTTGCCTGATCATCCCTAACCACCTCTGCCTTGGCTCCCATCACCATGGCTTTGTTGGGTAGGACATCCAGATGGATGTCTGGAAGATGTTTGGTCTAATTAGCATATTACCCTTTTATTAGTATAGATTATTTTCCATACAAACAACTGTAAACCTATTTCTCCCGTCCCCCCCCCCACTCCACAGATAATTACAGTCTACTACCTGTGTCTTTTAACTCCTGCCCAGTCCACTTAATGTTTCTCAAGTAACTGACGGGTGTTAAACCACCCAAAATATTATACTCATGTGAAGTCTTATCAGTCTACTACTCATCTATATTGGAAAATGGCCTTTCTTTTATTTTTAAATATATTTTATTGATTTTTTTTTTACAGCGAGGAAGGGCCAGGGATAGAGAGTTAGAAACATTGCCTACTGGGGATGTGCCCACAACCAAGGTACATGCCCTTGACCAGAATCTAACCTGGGACCCTTGAATCTGCAGACTGACGCTCTATCTACTGAGCCAAACCGGTGAGTTTGAAATGGCCTTTCTTAACATGTCAGTATCCTTAGGGCACTAATTCATTAGCTGCTAAAGCTTAGTGAGAGTTCATTTGCTAAGACTACAACCAGCTGATAGGCGCCTGCTGATTGCAGTGACAGCGGATAACTGCTTTCAGGAGGCAGCAGGCCTTAGGTCCGCAGACAAGGGGCACACAGATGCAGGCAGGTCCTCGCAGCTTCCTGAGGTGAGCCTGGCCGTGCCGCCTGGTCGTGGGTGGGCGGCACTGGTTTTACCTTTGCTCAGCCCCCAGGAGAGGACAGCCAGTGGCTTTGGTTTGTGGTTCAGTTCCTCTCGCCTCTCAGTTGTAGGTAAAAATAGTCTGTGCTCACTCTGAATTCTCCCAATGTTTTAAAGCTGTGAATCTAGAGCTAAAAATAGCTTGTAATGAATAGTGTCTTGAAAGTTAAATACACCTGCTCAGGCTACCAAATGAAAATAGCATTTTAACGCAGAAGCCTTACTGTTTGTTCTCAGCAGTTGTCTTTGTTTTAGGGCATTTTGTGGAGGATGATAGAGATGCTGGTTTTTGTTTTGTCTGTTCACACAACACGGGGAGCCATCTGCTGTGACGAAATTGGCAAAGTCAAATTGCATGTTTTTGGGGGGACCCATTTAAAAAACCGCCAAAGACAGACTGACAACACTCCAGACAATTTTATGAGTCTTGTCGTGGGAGTCTGTTGTTGAGGAGTCTGAATTCACAGGCATCTGTGTTAGTCTATAAAGCTGGTGTGAATTTTAATCCTGCTATTACTGAGGGAAAGCTATTAAAGTAGCCTGATTACTTAGGTTTTCTGAGTGGAATGAAGTTAATCTGCAGTCACATAAAACATCTTAGAGCTATCGAGTTTGCTAAGTGTCATATGGAGATGCCAGAAATTAAAAAAAAAAAAAAGTATTACTCCATTGACTAAACCTTTTCCATTCTGTGATGCTTGCTTTAACCCTTAGTCCTAAGCGTGACAGACAGTTTTACATTCATGCTTTGAGCTGGAAAGGACTTGATTCCGGTAGGGTTCTTGCTACTGTCATTAAACAAGGGACAGCTGAGGAGCCAGGGATGCTGGTGGCCATGGGTGTGGGCACAGGACCCCCTGGAGCTGCAGTGCTTGGGGACAGGGGCACTGTAGCTTCTGTAGTCCCTTCCCCCCAACCCCAAATCACTGGGCAATTCAAGAGGAGACACTGCAGTGCAGGCTGGTCCAGCAACCCCAGGGGAGCCAGAACTCACCCTAACGGGCAGAGGGCATTCCAGACTTTCGACTACTAAGTAGACGGTGCTAAGAAAATAAAGTCTATCCCCACTTGGATGTGCTCTCATTTTGGGGCCTCATTTAATTAGCCGGTCATTCCTCACTAACGGCCAGTTTCCCAGTGGGATGGCTGTGAACTCTGATGAGCTGCTTTATAGACGTGGAATGGAAGTAATTATTCTAGCTTATGGTTTAATTCACGTGGCCTCTGCAAACGTTATTGCGCCTGCCCTCAGTGAACGTGAGCAACACAGCCTCTGCGTGGATCGCGGTGGCCACGTGGCTGGGGCAGTGCTGGGGTCACAGGTCTGGGTTAACGCCGTGCCGATGCTGGTACCTCGGCCTACAGCGAGTTCACTGAAACGCCAAGAGGCGGTCGTGTCTCACTGTGGAGTCGTCTGCTTAGCTGTGTACACAGGCTTTTAAGACTTGACTGTCAATTTGAACTTGATGTGGATATTATAGTAGGGCATAGCCTGAACACGTAATGATTTGTAGTTTTTAGCAGAGAAAGGGGTAGGATCCCTCCCTCCCCCCATGAACAGCAATAAGGAGTCGGCTGCGGAGGCGTGTGCATGCTCCCCGTTTAATCGGTCACTGGTTACAGATGCGAAGTGACATGTCCAGTTTTTGGCGTTCCTCTGCCGCCCTCCTTCGGGAGCAGGGTTCTCCAGGTGCGGTTCTCGGCTCCCTTCAGGTGGTTTGTGAGATACATGGACGTTGACATAATTAGACGATTTACTTTTGCGCCTGGCGTGAGCCACAACTTTCCTGATGTGGTTATCTAGAGATGAGTTCACTCTGCCCGATGAAAACATGTAGGTGAGAAGGTAAGGAAAAGTGGTCAGGGCATCGGTCGATGCTCAGAACTGCTGGCCGGACTGGGAGTCTGTCTGTGTGGGAGGCCTGGTGAACGCGGCCTGGCTTTCCCACGTCCAAGGCGATGCTCCAGATGCGGGTGAACCTGGAGATCGGGAAGGTGGTGTGTACACAGTCCTTTTGCTGGGAATGCTCAGAGTCCTGCTGGTAGCAAGGCTTTCCTCCCAGAGCAAGGCTTTGGCACAGCGGTCACCAGGAGAGGACCCGGGCAAGAGGAGGGAGGCAGAGCGGACAGAGAGGATGGGATCGGAGCTTCCTGGTAAGTAAAGCATTGCTGCCTAAGTGCGTGTGTCAATTTTTTGTGGAGATAAATTATCTGTGAAAACCAAGCTCAGAACCCTTACTTTGTGACATGTGCTGTCAGCCTCAGCTCTCCATGTCCCTTAGTTCCTGCACTCACGGCCCCAGAGTTTTAATCTACATTCGACAGCCGTGCAGATGCTGCTGCTTGTATTTCAGCAGTTCTGCTCCCATGTGTGCTAGGGTCTCATGACCGGGGGAGAAAAGGAGGTGAACACGGGAGGAAGGATGCTGGTCCCGCAGTAGCCCCTCTCAGGGCCACCCGAAGACCTTCACTCCAAAGACCTGCCTGTCACCCGTGGGAACTTCAGCCCGGTAGCGTTCATGACCAAATGTAGGTGGTTTTGGCCCAGAGGTGTGTCTCTATGCTTTGCTGTTTCACAGCTGCTTCCAATCTTTAGTTTTACACGATCAGAGTCTGTTTTAAAGTGATGGACTTAGATCTTCGGTTCTCAGTCCCATGGGAAACCTCACACCAGTTGGGCGCTATGGGAGGAGGTTTGCTTAAGGCATGAGGTATACTGACGGAATGCTGAGCGTCTGCGCTGGGCCCGGCCACTCGAAGGACCTCCTGCAGGTGAGAACGTGCACGTTTTCTCCAAACCGCCGCACTGTCACATGTTACCATCGTCAAGGAGTCAGCACCATGGGAAGTGTCTGTCATTTGACATGTGACACTTCAGTTACTTGTCCATGAATTTCCAAGTAGAGAATGTCCTTCCCATGCCGACTCGTCACACATGGCTCCTCTTTGTCTCCCCTCTCCCCCTCCAGTGGTCCAGGCCACAGCACCCAGGTCAGGGCGCATCCCTGGCTCCAGCTGCGGCCTCAGGAGCAGCTGTCTGACGCCTGTCCAGCTGCGCAGGACAACCCTATGCAGCCAAATCCGGGCCTCGTATCTCCCTCCCACTTGTGTTGGTGACAGTTTTTTCTTTTGAAATGATAGGATGAACCCATGCTCAAAACCTCTCCAAAGCATTTGGAAAATACAGCTTCTATGTGGCTCTTCAAAACAAGTTGGCACAAAAGGAAAAGTGACGTTTGGTCTGGCTGGTGGAGGAGCCGTGGCCCGCCTCCTCCATGGGCTCGGGGTTCCCCGGGAGAAGCAGCGAGCGCCCGCTCAGGGCCCAGGCTGGCTCTGGAGGGCCGCGTCCTCGTAGTGACCGGCCCCGGGGGCAGTGGCGGCCTCCAGGGGCAGGCCCTGCTGCTGGTAGCCGTAGTTGACGGTGCCACACGGGAAGTGGCGCAGCCTGAACAGGGGCACTTCCTTCACGCTGGCCGTCAGCGAGGACGGCTCCAGGAGCAGGGCGGCCCCGGGCACTCTGCCCGCCGCAGCGCTGGGCAGGACGGGGCCGCCGCCCCCGTGTCCCGGGCCTCCCCTCTCGGGTTCCTTCTGCGCTGGCGGGCGGGCCTTCCTGGCAGGCTTCTCTGTGAACCACGAGCCGTACGTGGGGTTCCACAGGCTGGTTGGCTTGTTCCGGGATCGCTGGACTTTGTGCAGCTCGGTCGGCGGCGGGTTCGACTGAGCGAATGCCATGTTAACGTGTCCCCCTCCCACGGCCGGCCCTCTGGCCACTGGAACGTTGACCTCTGCCGCCGGTGGCTTCATCACCGCCTTGCCCGAGGAAGTGGAGGGCAGGGGGGCCGGGGCAGCTGGGTCCTGCTTGTCCCCCCCTTTCCCTGCTGGGGGAGAGACTAGGAGAGGAGGGATTCCCTCAGGGTCTTTGGGCCTCACAGGCACTTTCTCCTCCTCCTCCACGAGTGGGCCATATTCTATTGGCAAAGCCGTGTTGATCACATCTGGATCCTGCAGGGAGGAGAAAGGAGCTGATTAAAACTCAATCACAGACACGAAATGTTGGATCTGGAAGATAGCTGAGCAATGATCTCACCCAAACTTACTTTACTGATGAGGAAACCATTCAGTGTTTATTGGGAATATGTTAGTTTATAGGCACTGGGGATTAAGAAACCAACGGGAGCCTGGCCAGCGTAGCTCAATGGTTGAGCATCAACCATCTTCCAAGAGGTCATTGGTTCGATCCCCAGCAGGGGGTGTTCAGGAGGCAGCTGATTGATATTGGTGTTTCTCCCTCATCAATGTTTCTATCTCTCCCTCTGCCTTCCTCTTGCTCTAAAAACCAATAAAAACATTTACACCAATAAAAGAGTAAGATGCAAATTGAGCCGAAACCGGTTTGGCTCAGTGGATAGAGCATCAGCCTACAGACTGAAGGGTCCCAGGTTTGATTCCGGTCAAGGGCATGTACCTTGGTTGCGGGCACATTCCCAGTAGGGGGTGTGCAGGAGGCAGCTGATTGATGTTTCTAACTCTATCCCTCTCTCTTCCTCTCTGTAAAAAAAAAAAAAAAAAATCAATAAAATATATTAAAAAAATTATTCCAGTCTATTCCAAATAAAATTTTTTTAAAAAGAGAACTCTGTGTTTGACTTCAAGTTTGTGTGTGTGAAATGGGGGGTGGGGGGGGGGAGGGAGGAGACACACCATCCCATGTTGGTTTACAAGGTTTCTCTCTTCTTGGCTACGTCCTGCTTTCCTCATGTTTGGGTGGGTGATTTATTTTTCATATTGTTACATGTCAAGTGTCACAGAGCAGTGCATATTGTTACATGTCAAGTGTCACAGAGCAGTGCCTCTAGTCTGGCTGTGACGGGCCCTTTGTGAACCCCAGGAAATGCTGAGACACTGCCAGGAAAACTATTTATTTACACACCAACTCGGTGCTATTTTCGTCCACAGATCATACTTACGGCCACGGAATGTAATAGAGAAAAGCAAAAGCAGTTGCCAAAGATTTGAGAAAAATTTGTGGGGGGAAATTTAAACTTGGCGAAATTTGAGTCTTTAATGTTTTATGCAATTTGGGACAAGCGTGACTGCAGTTTAACAGAAAGCACATCGATCTAGTATTCATCAGTAAAGAGTTTAAGAATAAAAAATAACTACCTTCTGATTCTCATTTATATTTTAGCTTCTCTGTTCATTATTGATGACCATAGTGAGTTATTCAAAATGTGCTCAGACAGCCCAGCTGGTGTGGCTCAGGAGGCCATGGTTCACTTCCCAGTCAGGGCACATGCCAGGGTTGAGGGCTCGATTTCCAGTGGGGGGCATGCAGGAGGCAGCCAATCCATGATTCTCTCTCTCCACTGATGTTTCTCTCTCTCCTTCTCCCTCTCTAAAGTCAATAAAGATATATGTTTTAAAATGTGCTCATATAGAGCCATCTGTTTTTAAGAGGGTATACACTTGGAGAGCAGGGGTTTTCCATATTTCCCTGAAGATCCAGTTTTATTCAATAAAAACATTAGGTGCCTTGGAGGCATTTAGTTGAATTGAACTGATCCCCTACTGTCTTTCAGCCACATGCCGCGAGCTGCTGAAGATAACAGCTACTAGTATTAACTATAAAACTTGCAAACTGAGAGCCCAATCACTTTACCTTATAGATAACATTCATTCTCATGATCCTAACTCACATTTTTTCTGGCCAGTTTAACATTTATTTCACATTCCGGCATTGGCCATCATGAAGATGTTTCCACACAGACGCTGACAAGGGGGCATGTCTGTACCTGCGTGCAGTATTCGATCCTCTCCAGGATGATGGCGAAGTTGGGCCTGTCCTCCGGCTGGTGCTGCCAGCACTGGGTCATTATCCTGTATCTGAAAGAAGGACCAGCACATTCATTAAAATCAGGAGAAACAAGGATAAAACGTACATTTCTTCCCCCCGCGTTTTTCTAAGTGGGACTGGGGGTGGCAATGCCTTTGAGGATGGTAACCCGAGATCCCATGTGGTTGGCATATGCTGCCCTCTGCTGATAGATCAAGGAATCATGCCAAGTGTGGAAGATAACGCCAAAGCCATGAACGCAACCATCCTGTGTCCCCATTAAACATGGCCCTCTCATTCCATTCTTGAGTTAAAATCGCCCCTAAGGAGGAATATTCTGATTATTCGAGAGACTTGGTGCACAAAAATTCCTGCACTGGGAGGTGGGGGTCCCTCAGCCTGGCCTGCCCCCTCTCACAGTCCGGAGCCCCAGGGGATGTCCCGCCCCCATCACTCCACTGCTGCTGCCACTGCCGGCTACGACAGCTGCAAGGCCTGAGCCCTGGACCTTGCAGCTACCAGGGCTCACAGCTGCCTGAACCATGGCTGTCATGAGCCCACGGTTGCCATGAGCCTTAGGCTTCACAGCTGCTGTGGCTTTGTCCAGATGGATGCCTGGAAGATGTCCACCCTAATTAGCTTATTACTCTTTTATTAGTATGGATTGCCCATCTGCCTTGCTTGTGGCTAGCAAGTGAGGGGTGCCAGACAGGACAGCAGAAAATGTGGGGAATGGGCAAAAGTAGGTTTACAGTTTTGAGCATGCGAAGCACAGAGGTTATTCTTCTGTTAGGAACAAACATAAACCCACTTCTGCCCCACCCTGTATTTAGGGGACTCAAGTACAGTGGTGTTTGGAAAGAAGGGGCGCACGTTCTTTGAGGAGTGTGAGCTTGGTGAGCCCACGGCCTTCAGCCAGCCGAAGGACATCTTTGTGGGGTTGAAGTTACTGCTTTTGGGGCCGGAAGACGAACCCATCCCACTGGAGTCACAGACATATTCCTATCTCGGGCGCATTAAGGGAAGCCAGCCACCTGCCCTTTCACCTTAACAAAGCACACGGGGCTGCACATGCTTTGAAAAGAAGAACTGCTTAGGAACTTGTAGAAATGCTCCTAAATGGTGAACAACATAGACTGATGAACAAGAACAGACCCAGAGAATAAGAAGCCATGGGTCAGACTGTTGGACCTCCAAGGGAGGGTGAGGATAAAAGGGAGAGATCAACCAAAGGACTTATGTGCACACAGATGAGCCTAACCAGTGGTCAAGAACAATGGGGGGTGGGGGCATGAAGGGGAGTGGGGGATTGGAATGGGGGGTTGGGACAAATATGTGATACCTTAATCAATAAAGAAATTAATAAAAAATAAATAAAAAAGAGTCGTACACAGGCCCAGGGCAGTTCTTCGGGGGGTCCATCCGTCCTCCACTGGTGACGAACTCCAGGACCTCCTGGTTGCTCTTGCTGGGGTATGGCATATATCCAAGAGAGAATATTTCCCACAGCAGCACTCCAAAGGACCTGTGCAGAGAAGACATGGATGTGGATAAACACACATACACATGTGCACACATGAATACATACACAGATACACATGGACAAATGGACACACATGTATATACATACACAGATGTAAAATTTTAATTTTTTATTACACACATTCCAGAACAGAGAATCCTACCTAATAAAAGAGTAATATGCAAAATAACCATCACTCTACACCCACAAGTCACACCCACCAGGCATACCCACCAGCCAATCAGACCGAGTATGCAAATTAACCCTAACCAAGATGTCTACAGCCACAGAGAGCAGTTGAGATGCTTGGGTTTCCCCGGCAAAAGAGGAAGCCAAGCTTTCCACACACCCTGGCCGGCCTAGGCCTCCACTCAAGGATACGAAGTTTTAATTATAGAAGGTAAACAAATCCAAACAGAAATGGCTGCAGCCATGGAGCAAGCAGGAGACTTGGCTCCACTCCAGGCTACAAAGTTTCAATTGTAGAAGGTAAATAAATTCCAGATACCAGGGCCTCTGCTTGGGTCGCCAGGGAGTGTGGCCGGCCTGCAAACCACCACAGACTCCTCGCCCAGGACACCTCACACCCCAAGGGAACAACCCCCCCACCCCCTGATCCAGGACACCCTTCAGGGCAAACCAACTGGCCCCCACCCATGCACCAAGCCTCTATCCTATTTAATAAAAAGTAATATGCAGATTGACCATCACTCCAACACACAAGATCAAGATAGCTGTCTCCATGTGGTCAAAGATCCTGCCCCCATGTGGACACAAGATGGCCAGCAGGAAAGGGCAGTTGGGAGGCACCAGGCCTGCAAGGGAGGGCAGTTGAGAGGGACCAGGTCTGCAAGGAAGGACAGATAGTTAGGGGCGATCAATCCTTCAAGGGAGAGCAGTTAGGGGTGAGCAGGCCAGCAGAGGAGGGAAGTTGGGGTCAAACAGGCTGGCAGGGGAGCAGTTAGACATCAATCAGGCTGGCATGGGAGTCGTTAGGGGGTGATCAGGCTGGCAGGCAGAAGCAGTTAGGGGCAATCAAGAAGTCAGTCAGGTGACCAGTTGGGAGCCAGCAGTCCTGGATTGTGAGAGGGATGTCCGATTGCCTGTTTAGACCTGATCCCAACGGGTAGTTGAACATCCCTCGAGGGGGTTCAGATTGGAGAGGGTACAGGCTGGGCTGAGGGACACCCCCCATCCTGTGCACAAATTTTGTGCACCGGGCCTCTAATTGTTAATATGGATAAACGAGAAAGCCACATATGATGCTCTATAAAAAGATAACCATTATTAGCATGTTGTTGTTTTTGGTTCTAGTCAAGTTTCTGTGCTTAGATTTTTTTTTTCCTTTTGTTAATCCTTACTCAATATTTTACCCTTGATTTTCAGAGAGTGGAAGATAGAGGGAAAGACAGAAACATCCATGTGAGAGAAACACATTGATTGGTTGCCTCTTGCATGAGCCTCAACCAGGGCCCGGGCCAGGGAGGAGCCTGCAACCTAGGTATGTGCCCTTCACCGGAATTGAACCCGGGACCCCAGCTAGGGCCTTCTGAAACTTGATTTTTTTTTTTTTTTCAAATTCCATTATAGCATAACATTTCCATGCTAATAAAAACATTTTGTAACTAGCATTTCAAATGGCTATAAAAATTCCCACTAAGTAATTTTGTCATATTTGCCTTATCACTTAAAGTTTTTTAAATATTTAGAATACTATGATAAACATGTTTGCATTTTTTTAATAGGACAGTTTGCTTAATATAAATTCCCTGAATTTAGTGCTAGAATAACCTAGTAAGTTCTAGGATAATTCCAATGAAATGACTAGGTCAGAAGAATACGAACACTCTCCACTTGACACACACTCTCCAGTTGACTTCCAAATGCATCACTCTGACCATCAGCCAGCCTCGCGCAAGAATGCACCCGACACTCACCAACACCCAGCGTTGTCTCTGCACCACCAGCTCCAACTCCATTCTCTCCAGCTCAGTGGCACCATCACTCATCACTGGCTCACGCTGCAGATGTGGGCATCATCCTTGATCACCACACTCTCCCTCACCCACTCTACACCAGTGGTCAGTGTCCTGTTCCCCTCCCACACCCACTCCGTACCAGTGGTCAGCATCCTGTTCCCTAACTACTCATGACTGAGCTTGAACTGGACCCCTCTGAAAGCGTCCACTGCCACCCCGAGGCCCAGTCCCTCTCAACTCTTACCTAGAAACGAGCAGTATTTTCCGAATGGTTTCCCCTCTTCACCTGTCCTACTCTAGTCTGTTTTCAATGGCAGCAAGTGATTTTTCTTTTTTGAAGTGATCATGTCACACTCTTGCTTCTAACTCTTCAGTGACTCCCTTTGTGCTCAGAATAGAGTCAGCATCCGGAGCCTCCAGCCTGGGTCCCCAGGCCTCCCTGCCTGCCCTGCCATCCCACTCCTGCTGGAAGACTAGTTTTGTCCCTGTCCCTGGCACACAGCCTGGAAAGTCTTCCCCAGACCTCCCCAGGGGCACCTCGCTGCCATTCAGGTGTGGGCAGGCCCGTCCTCCGGAGCCTTCCACACCCCCCTCACCTACCGCCACCCCTACCCCCACCCCTACTCCCACCCCCACCCTGAAGCAGCCTGCTCTGGGGGCCCTCTGCTTCTCTGCCTCCATAGCTCTTATTAGCATCTGATGTTATGTGACTTACTTGCTTCTTAAAACATTTTTTGAAGCAATCTGTACTTCGAAAAGGAAAAAATAGGTACTTGTTTCTAGATGTTGATATTTTGCTTTGTGACAGTTCTCCCTCATTTTGAAGAAATAAAATAGATATAGGCAAGCCCTTTTCCTGCTCTTTCCCCTTCCCTGAAGTTAGCATGTCTCCTTCCATGTATGCACTTCTCAGTGTGTGAAAGTATCCTATCTAATAAAAGGGTAACATACAAATTGACCATCACTCCAAGACACAAGATGACCGCTCCCATGTGGCCAAAGATGGCTTCCCCCGTGTGGACACAAGATGGCTGCCACAAGATGGCCTTCAGGGGAGGTCAGTTATGGGCAGTTAGGGTTGACTAGGCCAGCAGAGGAGGGCAGGGGGGGGGTGGCCAGGCCAGGAAAGGAGGGCAGTTGGGACAGACCAGGCCAGCAGGGGAGAGCAGTTGGGGTGGGGACCAAGCCAGCAGTGGAGAACAGTTGGGTGGGGACCAGGCCTGCAGGGGAGGGCTGTTGGGAGGAACCCAGGCCTGCAGAGGATGGCATTTTGGGGGGGTAGAGTGGGGGGAGGAACAGGACAGCAAGTGAGGGCAGTTGGGGGAGGGAGACCAGGGCAGCATGGGCAGGCAGTTGTGGGGAACCAGGCCTGCAGAGGGCAGTTGGGGGGAACCAGGACTGCAAGGAAGGGCAGTTCTGGGCAATCAGGCCAGCAGGGAGGGTAGTCAGGGGTGACTGGGCCAGCATAGGAGGGCAGTTGGGGGAGATCAGGCCTGCAGGGGAGGAGAGTTGGGGGGGGGATCAGGACTACAGGGGAGTGCAGTTGGGGTTGACCAGGCCTATAATTGAGGGCATTTGTGGGGAGAACAGGCCTGTAGGGGAGGGCAGTAGTGGGGACCAGGCCAGCAGGGGAGGGCAGTTGGGGGGGGGCAGTCCTGCAGGGGAGGACAGTTGTGGGGGGGCAGGCCTGCATGGAAGAACTGTTAGGGGTAAGGGGCCCAGGTCTGCAGGGAAGGGCAGTTGGGGGGACCAGGCCAGCAGGGGAGGGCAGTTGTGGGGGGGGCAGGCCTGCAGGGGAGGACAGTTGCGGGGGGGAGGGGGGAACAGGCCTGCATGGGAGAACTGTTAGGAGTAGGGGACCCAGGTATGCAGGGGAGGGCAGTTGGCAGGGGGTGAGGAGAGACTAGGCTTGCAGTGGAGGACAGTTGGGATGGACCACTGGGATTGGGCCTAAACGTGTGGTTTGGACATCCCTCAAGGGGTCCCAGATTGGAGAGGGTGCAGGCATGCATGAATTTTGTGCACTGGGCCTCTAGTAAACAATAAAGTTTCTGTATTATGGACTTAATGTTTATATTAAAATTAAATAACATTCTGTCCCTTTTTGGAACTCGCTCAACGTCATTTTGGAATTCACCCATGTTGATGTATGTGAGTTCAGGGTGTGCTCTCAGACTGCTGAGTAATTCCCCATGACATAAATAAACCACAGCTTGTTTTTTTAGTCTCTATATGAGGGACCTTAGCCTGTTGTAGCTTTTTCTCTATTGTGAATGATGTTGAAATAAACATCCTTGCTCAAGTCTATTTGTGTCATGCTCTCTCTCTAGACACTTAGAACTAGGATCGTGGGGAAATAGGATGTGCATGTGTTCAGAATAAGGACTTAATTACCTGCATTACTCTCTGTGTCTGGATGGGATGGGTTGGGGTGCTCTAATGCTGCTGCACACAGGAATCACCGGGGGGTTTGTTAAAACACGAGTGCTGGGCTCACCCATAGCGTTTTGCTTCCATAGCCAGAGGTGGCAGCTGAGAATTTGCTTCTAACAAGTTCCCAGGTGGTGCTGATTCTGCTGATCCACAGACCTCACTTTGAGATCCATTGGGTTAAGCCAGTGGTTGGCAAACTCATTAGTCAACAGAGCGGCACACCATGGCTTGTGAGCCACAGTTTGCTGACTCCTGGGTTAAGCCAAAGCTAAAAACAGACCCAGCAATCCTACCTTATGACCTAGCAACCTCCTTTCTGGGGATCTAGCCAAAGAAACAAATCAGTATTTCAAAGAGATGCCTGCACTCCATGTTCACTGAGTGTTATTCACAAGAGCCAACATATGGATACACCTAAGTGTCAGTGGATGAAAGGATAAAGAAAAGGTGATGTCTGTCTATCTATCTATCTATCTATCTATCTATCTATCTATCTATCTATCTATCATCTACCTACTTACCTAACCTTTTTATTAAACAATATAATAATTACTAGGTGTCTAGATTAATATCCTAACACATACACACTAATACATATATTAATACATAAATATATACACACATGTATATATACCACACACATCACCTTTTCTTTATTCATCTGTTTGTGTGTGTGGGTGTGTGTTATTTTAATCCTTAAAGAGAAGGAAATCTGCCTTCTTTGAGAATCTGGGTGAACCTGGAGGGCATTATGCTAAGTGAAATCAGCGGGCCATGGAGAGAGAAATTCTGCATGATCCCACGGACGTGTGGCGTTACAGAAGCAGAGAGCAGGACGGTGGGTGCCGGGGCTGGGGGCACACACTGTAGGCCTGCGGGATGGCTGAGTCTGCAGAGCTGATGTGTAGACAGCAATGTCCAGCTTATCTTTAGCTGTAGGAAGGGTCTCACCGCTACGGTCAGCAGCCCTTCAGTGCCCCTGCTCCTTTCTCCTTTATTCTGTTAATGTGCAGAATTTTATTGCTCAATTTTCTAATCCCAACTCAATGTTGCACTCCTGGAATAAATTCAAATTCAACTTTGTTATGTAAAAAAAAAAAAAAAATTACGTGTGCTCTCCATGTGTGCACGCCCGGCCAGCAGTATCAGCACCCCTGGGAACCTGTAAGACAGGCACATCCTCAGATCTCCTGAGTCACAAACTCTCAGGGAGGGCCAGCGATCTGCTTTAAGGAGCCTTTCTGATGATGCGATGTGTGCCAGCGCCCAGAGCGGCTGGTGGACAGTGTGCTGACACAGGGCCTCCTGCTGAGGGGTGGGATCACCACCCAGGGCCCACGGGGGACCTGGGGGGGAGGGCAGCAGAGAAACTCACCACGTGTCTGTTTTGGATGTAAATATTCCTTCCATGAAGGCCTCTGGGGGCATCCACTTCACCGGCAGCATCGCACAGCCGCCCTTCCTGTAGTAGCTCGCTCTGCGGGGGAGGAGAGGAAAAGTGAACTTGGTTCCAGGGACGGCTCTGAGCGGAAGCTCCAGGCAACTTGAGCAAGTGCAACCATCTACCCATAAAAGGACCGAAGCCAGCGAGGCCTGTGGTTCAGGTGAGCGGGGAACACATCGTTTGGTTAAAAACGCTGTCATTTAATCACACATAAAACTGCCCACCGGAGGCATATAGGCAAGATCTAGACAATGACTACATACCCACCAAGGACGGCGCGATCTCCCTGCCGGGCTGCGTTTGCTGTAACTCACAGTGAGCAACGTCGCCTGCTCCTGTTGAGCCCCAGGCCTGGGAGGCCACATGGGAGCACAGGCGGCAGGGCTGTGTCCCCCTGGCTTTGGCTTCCTCCTAATGCCACACGGTGTTAGGTCAACACCAGCACCCAACACACACGCCAGGCAGCGGCCGGATGCTGCCCCCGGCACACAGCCCGGCAGCGGAACAGGGCCGGGGTGCAGCGGGCTTCAAAGGTACGAGCTTATCTATTATCTTTTGCCGGTGATGTCATTAGTGCAAGTCACTGATGAAAACGAATTAATTACCTTCCCCGCCTTTGACACCAGCTCTGCCCTGGGCCTGTGCTCTCCTGCCACGGTGGGAGGCAGCTCTCCGACCAGCTGCCTCGCTTCGTTAATCACTTCAACAAACAATACTGAGTGTTGCACTCAGGTGCTCTGCCGTGTGGTGAGGACGTAAATGAGCCTTTGGAGGAGAGGGTTTGGTGGCAGGAACCAGTGCAGCATGCAGTGAGGGAGAGTGCAGGCTCCATGACACAGGCGAAGAACTGATGTTCTGCTGGGGGGGGGGTAGGAAGTGATTCACAGGCGGGGAGTGGGGTGGGGGGAGGGGGGCAGAGGAGGGGCTGATGGTGATGAAGCTCCCCCAGAACACTGTCCTGAAGGTGAGATTGCAGTGCGTGTGGAAGCCTTGGGATAGGTTGGGGGTGAAGCCTGGAGTGTGGGGGTGGGAGGGCGGGGGGGGGCGTTGAGGGGCTGTGAGAGCTAGGATGGAGGGGAAAGGCTCACTAACCACTGGCACTCCGGGGTCCTCTGAGAAAGGAAGGGAGGGAACCCCGAGACTTTGGGTAGCAAAAGAAGGTAGAGTGCAGCAAACCAAGGTAACGTGGTGGAGACCAGTGGCTCATGACTGTGGTGAAGAATATTGCTAACTCAGAATCTTCCCCGAGCTGCTCCCTGGCAAAGCATGGCACCGGCCTTCTCCCCTGCAGATGGCAGCCAGTTCGGACGGGACCTCAGGGGACTCCCTAACCCTCTGACAGTAAGAGCCCTGCGTGGCCCCCCTCCTCTTTCTCTGGGTTAGGCAAGTGTGTAGCGACCACACACTGGAGTGGCTTGCTCGACTCAGGGAGCAGGTCACTGTTGTGAATGATTAGATAAGGAAGTAATGTGAGATAAAGTGCAATACAAGTAGTTTTATAATTAAAAGACTATCCTTACATGATATTATTCTACAATGTCATTAAAATTTTTCCCAGATTTGTGTTACCCTAATTACTTATAATAGTACCTTGAACCCTGGAGCCATGGGTCAGACTGTTGGACCTCAAAGGGAGAGTGGGGATAAAAGGGAGAGATCAACCAAAGAACTTATGTGTACACATATGAGCCTAACCAGTGGCCGAGGACAATAGGGGGGTGGAGGCATGAGTGGGGGTAGGGGTGGGGGATTGGAATGGGGAGTTGAGGTCAAATATGTGATATCTTAATCAATAAAGAAATTAAAAAAGAAGTTATGTTTTAAAATATAGTCTTGAGAATATAACGGGAAAGAGAATGTACCTATGGGCTCTGAGCTACACTCCGTGTCTCCTCGTGTGGGTTAAGGCGACCCGTGAGCTGGGCCCAGCATCCGGACAGTTCTGGGATGCTCTGGCCATGGAAACTAAGGCCGCTTGGAATCTCTGAGTTAATGTTTACATAGACACTCCTTCCATATCACGCATCCCAGTTACTGTGTCTCAGAGTGTGTTTAGATTAGAGCAATGAAACTGGAGACGATCTAGTGAAGAACTTGGTGTCAGTCATGGTGGGCAGTGGGATCCTGGATTTAGACCGTTGAGTGCGGGCACTAAGGTTCCCCACACCCTGCGAAGGAACTTAATGAAACTTTAGGCAGCAAGCTCACAAGGGGCCAGCGATGATTTAGGACACAAGCAGCCACATCCCATCCTCCCGAGGGCTGGGCTGAGAAGCTGACCCGGTCTTTGCTCACCTGTAGATGTCCCGGGCCATTCCGAAGTCCCCAATCTTGGCTACCCTTCCGGGGCCCGGACAGGTCAAGAGGCAGTTCCTGGCGGCAATGTCCCTGGACAAATGAATGGGAAACAGAGGTCCTTATTCCCCTGGGAGAGTACATGCGTTGTCTCAGCACTAGGATTTTCACTCTCATCAGAAGGTCAAGTAGTTTCCCCCCCCACTCTGTGTTTCCTTGTCTGCGGTACACTTCAGTAGGAACGAGATAGCCGTGCCAAATCTGGGCCTCCGGACTCAAGGGAAATGGGAAACGCTTAGGGAGATGATTGAAAATGTTTATTAGGACAATAACATGAAAATAACTGTAATAGAAACTAGAATTTACTGGCCTTTTACTATGTACTAAGCATTGTCCTAAGTGCTTCGTATCTAATTCTCACAACAACCTTATGAGGTAAAGGGTGCTATTATTATCTTCATCTCATTACACAAATTACGCTAAAAGCAGGTACCAGAGGGACCAAGGCATCCTGAAGCTACTGTGTATACAGCTTGGTTCCTGCCAGCTGTTTGAAGGTGTCTTCTAGAACAGCCTGGCCTCCATGCTACTAAATTCAAGCAGGCTAAGGCATGCCCACATAGCTATGGTTGTCCTTGTTAATCGGCGATTATGGTTCTCCCATCCAGGATTTCCTTCAAAGCTTTTTAAAAAAATAATTATATATATATATATATTATTGATTTTTTACAGAGAGGAAGAGAGAGGGATAGAGAGCCAGAAACATTGATGAGAAAGAATCATTGATCAGCTGCCTCTTGCACACCCCCTCACTGGGGATGTGCCTGCAACCAAGGTACGTGCCCTTGACCGGAATCGAACCTGGAACCTTTCAGTCTGCAGGCCAATGCTCTATCCACTGAGCCAAACCCGTTTCGGCTCCTCCAAAGCTTTTGATAAGCTGCCTGCCCCCTAGCCAGTGGCTGAAGAAACCCCTCTTCCGGGTTCTGGAGCCACATTCTCCTCTCCATTGAGTGCCAGATGGTCTACCTGCCGGCGGCATCCTAAGGCATAGCCAGAGGCCTTGCATTCCTGCCACTGACTGTCTCTCCCCCCCCCCCCCCCCCCCCACTCCTGGCCTGCCCGAGGGAGCAGGTGCAGCCAGAGGAGTCTGGGGTGGCCTAACAAGGCCAGGGCAGGAACAAGCAGCGGTCCTTGGGGGCCACGGCTGGGGCTTGCCTGTTTCTGACTGATTTCTTGAAGGTCCTGGTCTTTGATCGAGAAGCACGCGCAGAATAAACAACTGCAGAGTGCTTTAAAAACAGGTCTGGGTTGGAAATTGTGGCTTAGGAAACCGGAACGGTGGGCCAGGGAGGGAAACGGATGTTGTTGACGCCACATTCCTGACCCAGAGGCTTAAGTTGAATTTCGAGGAGCAACGGTGCATAAGATCCCTAATAAAACCATAGAAGCATAACATGCATGACACCAAAAAGAAGAAAAATAGTGGGGTAGGTAGCCATTACTTAAGAGAAATACACGAAGTAGAGCAGGGACAGTATTTATGGCTCCAGAAAGGTCTTTACGCTGATGTGCCTGGAATGGTTGCTTCAAAAAGTGATCTTGAAGGTAATGGCAAGAAAGTAAATAGAGTATCCTAGAACACACCAGGAACTGGTAACATGACACATAATTCGTGAAGTGGTAATCAACTACAATCAAAGGAAACAGACCTAGAAAATGGGAGTGTGTGGGGTGTTCACTCTGAATTCAGGGGGTGCCTTTGCATGGGAGCCTAGGAATCGGGGGGCAGTCAAAGGGTGGAGGAGAGAGAATGAGAGGTGATCCTTTCGTGGGCATGCGCCATAGACCACGCAGCCCGCTGGAGTTGCAAAAGATGCTTCCCTAATACCACGTTCCCCAGAAGAAAAGCCTGGATTGAGACAGTCAATTTCTGCCAGAAGTCGCCTTTTGCTTATAAAGCAGATCATGTGATACATTCTTGATTTATCTCTGACAATTTCATTTCTCAAAAGAGATAAAAGGAGCAACAAGCTATTACTCTGGGATCAAATTCTGACCTTCAGTAACTCTTCACAGATACGGAGGCGATGGAAATCCGGAGAGAATGGGGCCCTGTTCTCTTATCATCTCTAATAACAGAGCCCTGGATATGGGCCCAGGTGTCATGGCTCCAGGGAAGCAGGTTTCAACACGTCGGAGGAAAGATGGATGGGATCCCTCGGCCAGGGAGTGTGTCTGCTCGGTGATGAAAAGGCAGAGATGCTCTCGGGGAGAAGCAAAGGGGGACATCGGAAGGCACCAAGGTGACTGCACAGGTCGCTCATCGATGAGTCCAGTCATCAAGGACATAGACATCGATGCAAAGGGGACTGTAACCAAGGACGAATGCCACAAAGGGCGCAGCTCTGTCATGCCCAAGCGACAGTAAAGAGCCGAGATGCAGGCAAAGTTGTGGGCACACAGATGGGGCAAGAACGACACAGCAGGCTGACCTGCGCCCTGAAGCAGGGGCTGTGGCTTTGGAGAACAGAGAGGCTGGCCCCCGCTCCTCCTCTGCGTCTGCTGTTTCCATCAGGAAAAGTCACCCCAAGGCTGGGAAGGTTTAGAATCAAGAGGAAGGACTGAAGACCAGAGGTGACGTGACAGTACAAGATTAGGCCGTGTGAGAGTTGGCAGCCTGGTTTTGGGAATAACTTTGGACAGCCAGATGCGTGTGTGCCTTGATCTCGAATTCCCCACTCTCATTAGGGAGCGGGCATAACTTCCTGCTATGTCCATGCTCTTCCATTTCCAGCCTCAGGCGGCACTTCTCGTTTCTACTTTGTATTTAATATTCTAATGATTAGGACTATGCCTATCCCCTTTGGAGACTTGAGCTAACACATAATTGTTAATTCACCGGGTTGTTACTTATGAAATTGGAAGGAAATCGTTAGGAAGAGCTTTGCAAAGAGCCCGACAACCTCTTGGACTTTTCGGATTTCAGAATTAAGCTGTCGGCTGAGACAGCCAGCGGACAGAATCAGCCTGCTCTGATGCCTACAGCAAGCCCGTGGCCTTAGGTTGCAGCCCAAATACCATTGAAACAATAGGATCCGGTGGAATAGAAGTCAGGTGTTTAAGTAAATCAAATAATCATTATGCTCATTTCAGGGTATTTCAGAAAAATTAATTTATCCAACAAACCTTCCTTATGCCTCACTATGTGTCAGGGATACACTATGTGTCAGAGATGAATAAAACAGGGTCCTCACCTTTGAGCACTCACAGTCAAGTGTGTGAAACTATGAACTCCTTTAATGGGCCTTAAGGAGCTCAGATTTTATTTTATTTAATTAATATATTTCTCTTGATTTCAGAGAGGCAGAGAGATGGAGAGAGAGAAAAACATCAATGATGAGAGAGAATCATTGATCGGTTGCCTCCTGGACGCCCCACACTGGGAATCGAGCCCCAAACCAGGGAAGCAAACCATGACTTTCTGGTTCCTAGGTCGACACTCAATCACAGAGTCACAACGGCGGGCAAGAGGGAGCATTCCAGTGATATAGGACTTGAAGGTTTCACTTCCAGACACTGGCAGGGGTGGGTATTTTGATACCCATTTTACATACGGGGCAAGTGAAGCCCTGACAGAGTAAGTTGTCACCGTAAAGACAAAGAAAGCCGAGTCCTCACTGGAGGGAGACCCATCATTGCAATCAAAGTGAGAGCTGGGCCTGAGCCGGGTAAGGAAGAAGCAGAAGGCGGGAGGCGAGCAGGGCGTGTGGACTCACCGGTGGATGAAGTGATTTTCCTCCAAGTACTGGCAGCCGCAGGCAATGTCCCGGGCCACGTGCAGCAGGTCCAGCATGGCCAGGGAGGAGGGCTGGTTCTGTGGGGAGGCAGACATGATCCACTGGTGAGAGGCTATCGGGGGAGAGAAGACCTGAAACACAAGTTCAAGTGCTCCCAGGGAGGCCAAACCTGGACTCACTTTCCCCGGGGTCCCAGCCTGGCTTCCCATTAGAAAATCACCTGACAGGTTTAAACCAATAGAATGTTGGGCCTCAGCCCCACCAGTAAACCAATCACTCCAGGTGGGTGCAGCACCTGCAGGCTTCACAGCGCCCAGGTGAGGAACAGTGCAGCCGGGGCTGGGAACCCCGAATAATAGGAAGCCAGGAGGGGCCACCTCCACAGTACCAGCACAGGGCGTGGCACACTGCAGTGGTTCAATACATATTGGGGGTAGCTGATTCCACATGAATGAGGAATTACCTAGATGTCAGCTGGGAGTTCCTCTGGCACCGATCAGGGCCTCCCCGGGACTCCCTGGGGCAACAGAGTGGGCTGGGGGAGGTGAGGGGAGTCACACTTCATCCAGGGGCAGACCACAGGAAGGGACACTCTGTCCATGGAACATCAGGCCCTGCCTTCCGTGCCCAGTTCAAGTCCAAGTACAGGATCTAAGACTTGCCAAGACTTACAGGATCTAATATGGGCTCCCAGATTCCTGCCCAGATCCCCGAGCTCTCCTCTGCATGCATGATACGTGTCCTCCTCAAGCCTCAGGAATGCCCAGTGAGAAAACCAGAGCCGTGCCTCTTCCCGAAGTGCATGCCACACGTGCCCCGTTAGACCTCTGCCAGCTCCGCTGAGAATGTCAGCACAGGGCTGGGGGCTCCGCCTTGGTAGGTGGTGATGGGAAAGCCGTTGAGGTTGGTGCTCAGACCCTGGCAGAGATGCCCGTATGGCTCACAGGCTTGGTCCTGAGTGACCGAACCTCTCCCTGACAGTCCATAGCTTCCCAAAGGGGATCATTGGGATGAAGAGCACAGTGGGTTGGGAAAAGCAGGGAATCAGGAGGCCTAGTCTCGAGTTCCGGTCCCAGCTCTCCCACTGCCTGCGAGGCCCTCTCTGAGCCACAGTGTTCTCAGCTGAGAAAGGTTGTGCTGTTTACTGCACAGAGCGGTTCTGAGAAACGTGAAAGCTATAAGGAGGATAACAACGCTAATGAGGACCGCCGTAAAATGGGCTAGTCCAGTGGTCGGCAAACTCATCCGTTAACAGAGCCAAATATCAACAGGACAACGATTGAAATTTCTTTTGAGAGCCCAATTTTTAAAACTTAAACTTCTTCTAACGCCACTTCTTCAAAATAGACTCGCCCAGGCCGTGGTATTTTGTGGAAGAGCCACACTGAAGGGGTCAAAGAGCTGCATGTGGCTCGCGAGCCACAGTGTGCTGACCAAGGGGCTGGTCTTTTCTTTCTGCCCACAGCCTCCTGTTAGGCGTGCTCTGGTGCACACACACTCATCTTCCGAGGAGACCAATGGGATTCTTAAATGCCAAGGTGGGCCCCCCAGGGGCTCCCAGGAACAGTGTGGAGGCTCCTCAGGCTAAGCTGTTCTAAATTGAGATTGATTGGCAGTCGGGGTGGAGTAGGTTTTTGCCGCCACTTGGAGGCCCTGAAAGCAGAAGTTCAGTTCTGGCCTTTCTGTAGCGGGGTGCCTGTTGTGTTCCTGTTTTCTGGGGGATGGGGAGGGTGCAAATCTTCCCTGTAGTCCTTACAGACCAGCGGCACCTGAGAAGCCAGGGCCTAGCTCAGGGTCTGCTCGGCTCCAGTTCCTGGTGTCCGGGGCCTCCCAAAGACCCTGGCAGTGACAAGAGTGGGTAGCTGGATTCCGGGCCCACTCAGCGTGCTGCGTTTTATAGTTTAGGACCATGTCTGAGGTGTTCCAGTCCAGCCTTTGGATCTTATCTTGCAGATACTGAGGTTAGATTGGGTGTCTGCCCTAAGCCACAAGGCTGTGTAATGGCTGAGCAGGGCTAGGGTGTGGCATTCCTGGATGCATCTAGATCTCTAGTCCTTTTACTATAACACACACACACACACACACACACGCATGCACGCACGCATGCACGCACGCACGCACACACACACCACCTTCCTAGAAATTTCAGTACTTGATTTTGATAGTAAAACTCTAAGGTCAGCATGTACCCATTTGCAAAATGACAGTGGGGTTCAGGGTGAACGGATATAGACTGACCTGCCCCACCTCAGCTGGTTGGGTGAGTGACCTGTTTGGCAGACTCTTCCTCTCTGTGCCTGTCCATAGTCAGCGGGCCATACAAACGGACCCCGACTGGAGAATCCATTGCACAGGCCTTGCATGAGCTCCCAGGGCCATTGCCCACTTCTGTTCATTCTCGCCTGGCTATACCCCACATCCAAGCCCAGGGGCTGACTCCCTGGGCCCCCGAGGAGTTGCTTCACAGTTGCCCTGCTCCGTTCCTGGCACAAGCACTGGGGAGACTCACCGGGCGAGGGCGGGTCTCCCGGAGGAAAGACTTGAGGTCTCCTCCCGCCATGAGCTCCAGCAGGATGAACCGGGGCAGAGCCTGCAGACTCACTCCGATGCAGCGCACGATGTTCTGGTGGTTGAATTTGCTGCAGAGCGGGAGGTGGGGGGTGGGGGTGGGTGTAAGCAAATGTAACTGAGCTGAGTCTGGAAAACCATCCTGGGAAGAGCAGGACATAGTTATGTTGGCAGCAGCCACATTATGTAAATGCACTCTGAAGATGCTGGAAGCAGGGGCCATGCTGAGCCTAGGCTGAGACTGTCTCGTCTCTGAGCAGGTGAAGAGCCAGAGGGCAGGCCTGGCCAGCTCAGGCCGCAGGAGGGCAATTTGGTGGGCGGTGGGAGGACCCTGCACAGACATTTCTCACATGGGTGAGAAAGTGGGTGGGAGACAGGGATGCTTGCTAGGGTTCACCTTTGAGTCCTCCGAGGCCCGCCTCAGGCAGAAGCTGCTGGGTCTCCTTCCACAGGGACAGGGTGAGACCTGCCATTGAAGGCCCCCATGGTGGATTCCTCCTGGAGGCCTGGGATTTGGGTTTTCTTATTCGTGTGATCTTGTTACCACTCGTGGGGCGATGGGCCCGGGCACTCCACATGGGAACCCACACACACAGGTGAAATACAACGATGGGAAGTTATTGCCAAGTAGTGAGATTGAGTGACTTGGGTCTTCTTCACAGAATCTTATACGTTCCAAATTTTATTCAATAATCATGTATTACATGTCTAACTGGAAAGTTAGTACATTTAAAGCAAGTACAGAGCCTGCTGCCTGTCCTTCTGTGGATCCAGATGCCACAGGCTCATCACACACGCTACTGGGGCCTCCTTCCCTCAGCCACTCCCACCGAGGGGAGCGCCCAGGCTGCCCCAACCTCCAGGATGTTTGAGGCTCTGCAGGGCAACAGGAGGCCATGAGCCGCCAGATCTCAAGGTCAAACCCCTGAGTCCTCCTTAATGTGAGCCCTGGACACTGGGATTCCCAGTTAGGGGCCTCGGGCCATGAATTGCAGGGTGCAGGCTGCTGCGTGGACCAAGGTGGGGCAGCCTTCCACTACGTGAGGAGCACACGTGAGAGCTGGGGCGGTGGAAGGCTGCTAGAGGAGTAGCCTGGAGAGAGATGATAGCAAGCACACTCTGTTTCTCAAGAAGCAGGGAAAAGAATGGATGAATGTTAGCTGAAGGCAGAGTAGAACCAATGGGATTATTTGGCCAGAGAGATTTTTCCCGGTGACAACAGCCATGTGGGGCCATTCCATTCTAGCAGGCCATGCTAAGAATCGGGGGAGTCTGCTGTTGGAGAGGGAGGGGTGTGCGGAGGGGGCTCCCTCTGGGACATGAGTCAGACGCATGTGCACGTGGGCGGTGGGGTGTCTCTGTGACGTTACCTGATGATCAGGGCCTCCATGAGGAAATCCAGCTCGTCCTGCTCGGAACACACCTCAGGCAGCGTCTGGGCACAGAGGGGAGAAGGCCTTTAGCCCCAGGAGCACCGTTGGCAAAGACTGAGGCCAACAGAGACCGCCGGCCAAGCTCAGGCCCCCGAGGGACCCCGCTTACCTTTACCGCCACTTGCAGGGGGCTCGGGTCGTTGGGCATCCCAGACACCTGACCTTCATACACCTCCCCGAACGCACCGTGGCCCAGACCCCTGTGAAAGGAGAAGGCCAGATGAGGTGTAGGTGGGCAGGCCGAGAGAAAGGCTGGGCTGCCCACGAGGGGCAGCGGGGCACACATACACACACTCCAGGTCACCCCTGCCCCTGGCTTTGCTGCTCAGCCCCAGGCCTCCATTGCTTTGTCTGAGAACCGCCAAGAGGCATTACAACCTGGGGTTCGTGGCAGTGGTGGACAGCCCTTCAGTTGCCAAGGACACAGAGGTGACTGAGACCCGACCCTCGCCCTGAAGGTGTGCGCTCTGGGGGGAGGGAGGGACAAAGGCTGGCAGACACTCTGTGTGGCGCTCAGTGAGTGACATGCACAGGGTGTCTGGGAGCTCAAGGAGGCCACTGGGCTCCATTAGGGGAGAAAGGGGACAGGAAGGCTCAGGAAAGGCATTTTGAGAGTCCTGTTCCCTCCCATGTAGTCTTCCTCTCATTGTACAAACCCCATGAATATACAGGGTGTTGAGTGGTTTAATACCCCCCAAATGGCCCGAACACTAAACCTCTCTCTGGGAGGGTTAAGGGTGCCCTAGGAGTTTGGATTAAAAGAAACTTTTTGTTGGCCCCTTATGGCTAGAGGAACCTGTGTGTCGGGGTGACAGCCAACCCCTAGAACGCCCCCTTTCCCTGAAGGATGGCCAAGGCACTCACCGGATGAGGGTGATGCTTTTCCGTGGCACCTCCTTCAGGTCACTGATGGACGAGGTCTTTCCCGCAAAGCAGTAGTTGGGGTTGTAGTCCGTCATGATGGTTGAGGTGCGGAGCTTGCTCAGCTTGTATTCGGGGCTCTGCAGCTCCATCTGCATGGCTTGCAGCTCCTGGTGCTTCCGGCGGTACACTGCAGACAGATGGAAGTGGCCTGGACCAGGCACCCGGCACTGGAAGCCCACCACAGGCCACCTCCTCCAGGAAGCCTTCTTGGACTTCCATCACTTCCTCTGAGATCTAAACCTCCCATCACACTTAGTAATACTGACAAAATGATTATAGACGTGAAGGTGTACTTTTAATTAACACATTATTTAAAGTTAATGTAAAGCTTAATATCATGTAAATAAAAGATTTTGCTGTATCATATAGGGGCAGAGATATATTAGTTTGGGTCTCCTGAGAAGCAGACCCAAGACAGGACTAAACATGCAGAATTTCATAGGGCAAATGGCTCTGAGAGGAATTGGGGAAGGGCCCAGGAAGGCGGGGGAACCACCAGGTTGTGCTGAAAGTCTGGTCCGGCATGCAGGAGAGTGAGGGAGGCTGAGTAACAGCCCTTGAAGGCCATGCAGTGTAAAGGCGATCCAGCAAAGCACTGGGGACATTCTGGAGCCACAGTGGCCCTCAGAGGAGCCAGGTCCCTCAGGAAGAGGCCTGCCTCAGTGTCTCACTGTGCCCAGTCTCGGGGGGGCGGGTGCAAACATGGTATGGCTTTGAGAGCAGCCGGGCACACCGCCCTGAGCTTCTGGGAGTTGAACTGCCAGAGCAAATAGGTCTCTAAACTGGCATCTAAGCTGATGCCTGAGGACCCGAGTTCTAATTTCACCTGTGCTACTAACAAGCCCAGTGACACAGACGAAGTCATGTGACCTCTTTGGACCCCAATCTCCTCTGGAAACAGGAAAAGTAACCCCTGCCCTGTCCCATACCCCACCGCCTACAGTTGTCTTAATGAAATAAATTCACCAATATTAAATGGTTTTGAAAAATTCTGAAGAGCTCCACCATGCAAAGAACCATTATCTCTGTTACACACAGTGAGAACACTCTGTAGGCCAACGCCAGGGGAGGGGGCCCGGAACTGTGACCCACAGGTGGGGTCTGCCTTTAAGCCCAGCTCTGCCCCTACGGCCAGCGAGTGAGCCAGCTTTCAGTTCTCTGCGCCATGACATGTGTAACCGTGGTCACAGGGTGACCTGGGATTCAGTGCAGCCCAGAGCTGAGCCTTCCCTGGCCTGCCTTCCTGTCCCTGCCCACCTGTCCTGGGCATTTCCAGCAGGAGGAGCCTGGCAGGACCATGCTGAGCCCTCTGCGACCTGCCCATCAGCTCACCTGGGCTCGCAGGCCTAACAGGAAACACTCACAAACCAACTGCATTCTCTGCCTGATGCGGGAAGGGGGCTGGAGGCGGTGCAGGGGAATGAGCCGCTGGGAGCAGTGCCTGCTGGGATGGGAGCTGGAGGTGAAGTCCGGGGTGAGGGCGGAGCTACACTTGAGCAGAGCGCCCCACCCGTCTCCCCGAGAGCAGCCAGGAGTGGGGCTGAGGTTCAGAACCAGGGCTCCTGGGGACCACAGCTGTGCTGGGCCTGGGCTGCCTGGTCACAATCCGGACAGAGGGTCCCTGTCACTCAGGGTCCATGCAGAGCCTGAGACGCCGCTCTGTCCTGCCTCCCCTGCCTCCCCTTGGCAACCAGGGCTGTGGCACACTCACCGATCATGATGCCAGAGAACGCCAGGACGAGGGCGGCCACGAGGGCAGAGGTCACGACGGAGAGGATGAGCGAGAGGGGCAGGCGGGGCTCTGGGGTGGGCGACACTGGAAGACAGTCCCCACGAGACAGGGGTGACCACGCTGACACTGCTGGGAGCTGGCCCCGTCAGAAACACCCTCCCCGGCCAGGACCAAAGCCGCTGCTCCTCTCAGCCTGCAGACATGCCCCCCTTCTCTTTCAGAGGACAGGGGCCTGAGGCATGTTCACCCTGGCTTCACAGCGTCAGCAGCAGCTTGGGCCAGGGGGGGAACATGTAACATTAATCCAAAACACAGACTGTCCGATGGCAGGGCGGGGCTACAAGGTGAGCCGCCCATGGCTCACACAAGACTTCCAGGCCTCGGGTGACAGTGACCTCAGGATGACCCAACAGCAGGGTGCACCCTCAGTAACCCTGAGGCCCAATCACCTCCTGTGGCCGAGAGCCGGTCCAGAGCCCAGGAGGGCATGTCCCAGCACCCCACCGGCACAGACCACACCGAGGGGTCCTGCCTGGTCCCTACACTGCATTTCAAAAGGGACGTGACTACGGGCACAGCTGCAGAAATGGGACTCAGGAGGAGAGGGGACAACGGTGTCCTGTGCGAGTGGACTGGACCCAGGCGTTTAACCTGGAGGGGCTTTGCAGGGGGAGACACTGGAAAGGCTGGGGAGGCTGAGGCAGAGTCAGACCTGTTGCAGGGCAGGTCTGACTCTGGAACGCCCTGGAGGAACAGCGAGCCTCGGAGCGCAGGCCGTTCTAGCAGAGATGGCTGGCCCCCGTGCGGATGTGGGGGTTCACATTCTGGGTTAGGGGTGGCACTAGGTGACTCAGACTCCGTCGTGAGCCGTGACCCATTCTTCACACTCAAGTCTTGTTGTCAGAGCACTCAAGCTGGGGCAGACCAAGGAGTGGGGGGGGCAGGAAGATTACAAAACTGGGTGCCACATATCCCAGAACCATGGAGACCAGCTGTGGCTCCATCTCTGGGCCCCACCCAGCCCCTCACCAACGCAGGAGACGCCATCCTCAGCCAGCACGGTGCCGTGGTCGCAGAAGCAGATGACCTGGTGGCTCTCGGGGTCCAGGTGGCACTCGTCGCCCTCGCAGTGGCTGCAGTTCAGGTAGTGCTTGATGTTCACCTCCCCGTGGCCTTCCATCACTGTGGGCAAGGGGGCGGGCTAGCCGGGCCACCCTTTGCCGCCCGCACCCTGTCCGGCACACACTTTATCTCCAGCAGCCAGCGTGCGCTCTCGGTCCCTGTGCCCAGGTCACTGTGTGGGAAGGTCCCAGTACCTCTGGCGAGGGGGGCGCAGAGGCTGTTGGGATGTATTTATGAAGGTTGGGGTGCGGGTGGGGGGTCCACACATCTGCTCTTCAGTTGGCTGGACAGGGACAGCCCTAATGCTGATGGATTTTCTAGGACTGGCCTGTCTGGTTGTCAGTCTCCTGCCTCGGTGCCCATATGAGACCCCACTCCCGACGCCAGGACGCTTAGTGGGATGAGACCCATTGTTTCCTGGGCTCCTGCTGAACCCGGGGTTCAGATGGGCGGGAGAACTGGCCTAAGGAAGCTGGCAGAGGGGGGTACCTTTTAAAGCTGGGGTGTACAGGATGCCCAGGGGACTGATGAAGGACACCCCGTCCTCTCCGTCCATCTCGGGGTCGTTGTCTGAGGCTGCGTTGCCGCCTGGGGCAGTCAGAGAAGTTTAACGCAGAGAGGTGGGCGCCCAATCTCAACACACGTGCGCGTAAGCGGGTCATGCAGGGGGTGGGGGGTGGGGGCCCCGAGGGCGGGGGGTGAGGAGGGAAGGGAGGCTCAGGCACAGGGCTGCCCTGGGCTCAGTAGATGCTGGGTGTGGGCCACCTTCCCCTCCAGGTGCAGGCCAGCTCCCACCGGGTGTCCCCACTCTAGGCCTGCAGGAAGCAGTGCATGGGAACAAGATCAGACAAGTTCTAGTCTCCCAGGCTGGGTTAGCCCAGGGCCTCTTCCAGGTCAGGCCAGGCAGCAGCACCGAGAAGTTGCTCTCCAGTCCCCTGGGTCAGGGTAGGGACGTGGGGGAAGAGCCCCTGTGCCTGTAGGCTCCTGTCCCTCCATTCAGCTGGGGCTGGCTTATCTCTGGGCTCCCCCCTCGGGCTCCCCCCTCGGGCTCCCCCACCCGCCCATGGCTTAGAAAAGAGCATCTGGTTAATGCAAGCATCTTACGCAGCGCAAAGCAAAACACAGACAGAACATCACGGAGTGTGCATGCATTGCATCCTAATCTGTGGGGATGGAGGAGACACCATTTGCCTCTCAGCTTCAGAAGGCTCTTCTGCTCTGCGCTAGCCCAGAGGAGAGCGGGGCCAGTGGCCAGCTGCTTGCCCAAGGGCTGGGCCGGGCCGGGCTGGGGCTGCCCGCAGTTGCCCCCAGGAGAGTGGGCCGTTCTGGAGCTGGTGGGCTGGGGCAGGAAAGGGAAAGGGAGATGTCCTTGAGGACAGAAGCCACAAGCCAGGCCTTAGGGAGCTGGCTTGCAAAGACAGGGGCCAGGCCATCCAAAGGGAGGCATGGGGCTCAGAAGTCTGGCCTCTGAGGTTCTCAAACCAGCACATCCACAGGGTGGCTCTGAGAACACAGCCTGAGAAGCCAAAGCCTCTCGGTCATCGGCTTTGGGGGTGATCAAGAATCACACGGGATCTTGATGCGGACGCTATGGAAGCCTGGAGGCAGGATGCTGGCTCGCAAGCCAACACCCTGCCTCTGGCCGGTGGCCAGGCTGAGGGAGGCGTGCATGGTCACATCACAGTCCACACGTGGGCAGCCGGGGGAGGGCAGGCGAGGGCTGGGAGAGGTGGGGTGCCTAGGACTAAGGGAGGGGGTGACACCTTGAACACGAATCATCTTTACCTATATATCCTCCGCCTCCTCCACCGGAGGAGCACCCCCCTCCACCCCCTCCGAAACCCCCTCTGGTCTCCCACCCCCACTTCTTCATGGCCTGGGGGCAGGAATGTCCTCCGGTGGCGCCCTCCAACAAGGATTTTCCAGACCAGAGCAAGGAAGTGTTATCATTCCAGCCACCTCCGCCACCTGCAAGAAGACAGAGAACCCGTGAGGCTGGGCTGGCTCAGAGGAGGACCTGGGCCTGGCCAAGGAGAACCTTATGTGCTCTGAGGGGGCCTTGTCTTTGGTGGGCCTAGGGCTAGAGTCCAGGGACATGGCCTCTGACCTGGAGAGACCTGCTGGGGACACAGCTGGATGTCCTGAGGAGAGCACGCCTGGGACCTCTGCCTCCCGCAGGCCTCTGGCTCAAAAGCCCTAAGAGTGCTTGGCTGGGAAAGGGGCCGGAGAGAGCAGACAGCATGGCACTCGGCGTGTTCCTGGGCCTTCTCTCCAGAGCACCAGCCCGAAGTGCTGGGCCTTTGTTGGCTGCTTCCCATGTCAATAAGAACAGGACCCACCTCCCTGGACACCCTGCTAAAGGTCGCCTCAGAGACTCCTTGTAGAAGCCCTGGACCAGGCACGGATAACCCAGTGGGCTGGCTATGGACTGGGCAAGAGCTTCTGCATCCTGAGCCTTAACCTGGGGATAATAAGATGGCCTCAGCGGGTTGACATTTGGGTCAAAGGAGGTGGTGAGTGTGGAATGCTTCATAAAGATAGATCAACAACAACGTTTTTTAAAAAAAAATGGATTGAGTATGCAACAGTGTGGCCATGTGGAGAAAAAAATCCACTAACTTTCTATGAGCTCGCTGACTCTTATAAAATGGGAATAATGATATCTTTCTAGAAAACCCTAGCATATGCTTTGAAAAGCACATGTATAATAGCTGCCAAAGAGCTCTGTAAGTTATTAAACCCGCACAGGTGTAAACAGTGCTGGGGGCAATTCCTTACCGTGGACCCCATAAATAGTTCTATTTTCTTCCAGCCCTATTCGTCTCGATTAAAGAGAAAGTTTGAGTATTTGCTTTAAACTAATCTCAAATTGTAAATGCCTCCCCAAACCCTCCTTCACTCCAATTGTGGAGAAAAATTCAAGAAGGAACTGCATTTTCTCTTTAGCGATGGCTGATCTCAGAGAATCGGAGAGTCCACCTCCCCTTTGGGGCCTGTCCTGTGTGTGGTGTGGCTGCTCTCATAACTAGCACAGAGCCCAGCCACGAAGATTCCAGCAAGCGCTCCCAGTGAGGGGCTGTGTGAGCTGGCAGCCCAGGCCTGGCCCAGACAGAAACCACAGGGGTCCGGAGGGTTGGACTCCGCTTCAGATTCCTCCCCTCTGCTCACCTCCAGGTGCATGTGGTGAAACCCAGGGAGGGCTGGGCTGGTGGTCTGAATGCAGGTGCCTGTCTCATTTTCTCAGTGACCTCCCACAAGTCCAAACGGCATCAGCAAGTCTCTGGGGCTAAAGATGCCGCTTGCCCTTCCTCCCTTGAGGCTGGTCCCTACGCCAGAGCTCCCAGCCTCCCAGGTGTGGGTGACGAAGATGCCACAGATGTGATGGGCCCAGGAGAGCATTCCGGGAGAGGGCGGGCTGGACGGCTTTACCTGCGGCTCCGGAGTAGCCGTTGAGCCCTAGCACCGAGGAGTTATTCTCCAGCCTCTCGGGGTGGAACGTGTCCGTCTTGGCCCCGTAGGCCCTGCCACCTCCGCCGGCCGCAATGATCAGGGGCACTGGCACGCCGTCCTTCATCTGGCCCGGAGAGATATGGAGAGAGTGACAGGCGGAGCTGGGCTTCCACTCTGGAGAGCCAGCGCCCTGATGCTGAGCACACACTCAGACTCATTCATCAGGGGGCTCTGAACTCAGGTTGCAGTAACCGGGGGCTCAAGCTCAGCTGCTGCCTGCTCAGCCCCTTGCCCGAAGCTCAGAGGAGCCGCAGAGGTTGGGTGCTGGTGGCAGGAGGTCTCCTTGCTCTCTCCTTCCTCTCACTCCCTGGGGTCTCTGGTTCTGACACCTACCACCTCCAGAGAGGCACTCAGCATCACTGTCCCTGTGGGCGGGCCTGGCAGGGAAAGTCCACCTTAGGACAGAGGAGGCACAGTGGCCCCTCTGGAGGCCTGAGGCAGGCATGGCAGAGGCTTGGGGGTGAATCGGGCTGGTACATCAGCGAGAGAAGAGCCTGCCTTTCTTGGACAGACAAGGAGTCCATGTCCCTCTGGGCCTCGGTTTCCTCATCCTTAAATGCACTAAGTGGGCGTTTGGTTCCTGGGGCTGTCGTGAGGCAACCCCATGACACACAGAAGCCTCTGCCCCTGGGAGCCGGCACAGCCCACTCACCTTAAATACGTAGGTGGCTCCGCCCCCTCCGCCGCCCCCTCCTGCCCACTCGTGCACGCTTCTGTTCACGCGGATTTCTTCCTCTATCACATTGTTCTCCCCAATGCAGACTTTCTGGATCAATCGGTTTGTCTGCAGAAACAAACAGCACCTCGGGTTTGTGTCCAAGTTTCTCTACTTCCCAGCAGACAGATCTTCTACATTTAAAGATAGGGTCTGCCCTAGCCGGTTTGGCTCAGTGGATAGAGCGCCAGTCTGTGGACTGAAGGGTCCCAGATTCGATTCGGTCAAGGGCACATGCCTGGTTGCTGTCTCCATCCCCTGTAGGGGGCATGCAGGACACCGCCAACCAATGATTCTCCCTCATCATTAATGTTTCTATCTCTTTTCCCCTCTCCCTACCTCTCTGAAATCAATAAAAATATATTTAAAAAAAAAAAAAAGATGGGGTCTATCTCTCAAATAGCTTAGAGTTGAGTTGAAGAGACCAAAAATATACCCAGATAACTATCACTCTGGGCAGTATTAGAGAAGGATCACAAGGATAGAAATTAGTTAGAAAATGCATGGGAAGTGGGGGAGGGAGAGTGAGCTTTTGTTGCTAACTGGTGATCAGGGAGGACTGCCTGCAGGAGGTGTCACTTAGTTGGGCCTCGAAGGATAGGGAGATTTTTAAAAGACATTAAAGTACATTATATTAGTTTCAGATATACAACATGGTGATTGACATTTATATATCTGAGGAAGTGATCCCTATGCTAAATCTAGTAACCATCCATCAGCATACAAAGTTATTACGACATTATTGACTGTATTCCCTGTGTTGTATACTACATCGGATAGAGAGACTTTTAAACACAGAGAATGAGAGAAAGAGCATTCCAGGGGGAGAGAGCAGCACAAACCCACAAGATGAGTGGGGTATTTGAGGAAGGAGCCTTTTTGGCTCAGAAAAGTCCATCTCAGGACAGAGAGATGGTTCAGCAGTAGCGGAAGTGTCCTCTGACTCTGAAGAGCAGATGATAGAGGTCCTACGTGGTGAGATGGAGGGAGCATGAGGCGGGTGGGTGGAGGGAACGAAACCAAGTCATGCAGGGGCCTCGGGAACGATCCCAGGAGGAACTGGATTCCATTCTCTGGGCAGTGGGAAAGGAAGCTGCAGGTCTGATACCTCGTGGAAAGAGAAAAAAAACAGTTGAGGCCAGACTCAGATTTATTCTCAGCTCATCTTTGTGAAAGTCACTTCTTCATCCTGGGCAACTCATTCCTCCCAGCTCATGTCCCATTTCCTGCCTCAGAACTTCCCTGGCACAGCGCTAAGTAGTGGCTTGTGTCTGCCACTGAGGAGGCTGTGGGCCTGGGGTCTGTTGGATACCCCTGACTAACTGTGGGCAGGCCGCTGTCTGACCCCGTGTGCACCGGGAACAGGCACAGGAGGTGGTGTGTAGCTGAGACAGTGTCTTGCATGTGCCGGGGACTGAACAAATGGCTGCTGTCTTAATTTGGATTCACTTCTGGACCCAGACATGGGAGGAGGGGACATTGGGGGTGTGGAGCACAGGCCCATGCTGCGCCGGACTGGCCAGCAGAGGAGGCTGCCCTCTGTCCCTGGCTAGGAACTGAGCTCTCCCTGCACATCCACCAAGTTTGAGAGTGAGTTGGTTGATTAATGAAATGATAAAGTGCAACAACCCAGAGGAACAAGTAGATTACAATTGAATTAAAACAAAAAGGACGCGGTCCTGTGAAAAGACATAACTGATTACAATCCAATCAAGTAAAAGTCCCTTGCAAAAGTCAATGCAATCTTCCTTAGATGAAAGAATTACATTAGCACTCAATAAATTCCTGTGAACATTATGGAGCCTGCAGTTTAATGACTTAATATATTATATCAGGTTGGAAAGTCCTGATTATTGTTGCTGAGTAAAAGTTGGAGTCCAGACAGTCCTCATTCACGAAGGTTGTACTGGCGAAGCTTATGCCAGCTGCTTTGTTTTAACCCACAGCGTGGTGGGGGAGGGAAGGGGAGGCTACACTTCGCTCCCAGCCCAGCCCCGAGTTTATTTTGTGGAACTAAATTGCTTTCTCAGTAGCCCCTGTCCCCACATCTTCCTCTAAGGCTGCTCCCTGCCCCAGGTGGAAGCTGGGCTGCGGGCAAGGGTGGCGCCTGGCCCCAAGGGGACAGGCCCTGCAGGGGGTGGAGTTCCTGCCAGGACAGCCAGCACTGCCAGGGGCCTGGCACAGCAAGACGCAAGCCAGTAGGTGCTGGGCATTTGTATGCCAGCTGCTTCATCAGTCTGCACTTTTTCATGCTCCTGATCATGTCAGACCTCTACCAGCTTTTTTTTTTTAGAGAAGTGGAAGGGAGGGGGAGAGGCACAGAGAGAGAAACATCGATGTGAGAGAGACACAACCATTGGTTGCCTCTGGTGTGCACCCTGACCTGGGCCTGAGATGGAGCCTGCAACCAAGGTACGTGCCCTTGAATGGACTCAGACCCGAGACTCTTCAGTCCGTGGGCCAAGGCTCCAACCACTGAGCTAAACCAGCTAGGACTCCACCAGCTTTCTTAGCTCCTGCTGCTGGAGTTCTCCCGTGTGACTGAGAGACACCTTGTGAGGTCAGAGGTGAGGACAGGCTATGTCTGGGGCTTTAGAGAATGGCAGTCTGGCTTGTCAAGTGATGGGCAATAAGTTGAAAAGAACAAAAGGCCATAAAAACCGAGGCCTAAGCAAGGGTGGGGCTCAGCAAGCACAGGAGCCCAAGTCCCTACTCTGTCCTGTGTTGTGAATGACTTTGAAGTCCCTTCACCACCGTAGTCTCCATTTTCTCATCTGTAAAATGAGACAAGTGGATTACCTGTTCTTCCAGCTCTCACCTGTACTTTATGTTTTTAAAAGGCTTTAATCACACAAATAATAAATTCTATATGAATGCATTCTTTTTGTAACCATACCGGGCATGACTGATAAAGCACCCTCAATTGCAGTCCCCGCCCCAGAAACAATGGGTTAGGTGTAGAGTTCAGAGCTTATTCTGTGTACTTATGGACATACAAGTGTCTAAGAGCTGGACAAGAAACGTTTAAGCTGGTATTTTTCTGTTTGTCATAATATGGCCAAAGACAGCGATGCCCGAGCAAGAAAGTTTAGGAAGTGGCTTCAACTTGTACTTCTGCTAAAGGAACAACCATTTGCCCATTCACATGGAATTCACTCCTTTAGTTTTAAGGGTCCTTGTGCAATCCAAGTCCCAGCCTTGGTCCCTGTGGGAAGGTGAAGCCCCAATAGCCACACCCCCAGCTTTCCCAGGACCCAAATGGCCTAGAAAAGGAGGGGCACTTGCAGGTAGGACAAGGGAAGGGTGTGAGGGGCGCTGGTGCCCTCTGAGGGCCCCCGTGGGTCCGGGTTGCGTGTGGAGGAGAAAGCCCAGCTCTGGCACTTACGCTGGGGCAGGCGTCCTCCCCCTGCTGTCCGACCAGGATGTACAGCGTGTCGTCCTTCTCCAGGTTGAAGATGCCCAGCACGGACACGCCGTGGGACCGCATCATGGTGTTCCTCCCGCCTTTCCCGCCGGCCGCTCCGTAGCCCGAGATGCTGCAATGGGACAAAGCACATGGGCTTCTGCCACGGGGTGAAGCCTGACTCCCTCCTGCCCCCCCACCCCCGGCACCTCCAGTGGGCCAAGTGCACCCCACGTGGATCCTGATGGCTCTCCCCTGCAGCAGCCATGAGGTGAGCAAGGAAAGCCCTCCTCCCCCCAATGTCGGGAGAGGACAGTCGCCTAGAGAGGGACAGTGAGGTGACTCATTGGCAGAGCTTAGAAGGTGAAGGACTAGTAGAGGGTGGGAGAAAGAATGAGAGGAAAAGGAGGAGCGGGAGGAGAGCAAGGACCGGGAGGGTCTGTGTTAACATGGGATACAGGGGGGAGGGCATTTTTTTTTTCTTTTAAATTAAATTATTTTTATTTTTTATTAAGTTATTATCTGTGTACATATTTTAACATTGCCCCTCCCCTCCCATACATACCCTCCTTCCCCAGAGTTTTATGTCCATTGGTTGTACTTATATGCATGTATACAAGTCCTTCAGTTGATCTATTATCTGGGGGGAGGGTGTCCTGAGATCCTGGGATTTCCCCATCATGGATTTACCTCCCTGCCCCAGATCAAAGGGCTCATGTGACCTTAGACAAGTAACTTACCGTCCCTGTTCCACATCTGTAAAATGGGATAATAGAGAACCCAGCTTCTAGCCCCTGTGTGTCGTCAAGGATGAAAGGAATTAGTACATGCAGTTTTAGCCTGGTGGCTGGCACCTAATAAGCACTCAAAAGTATTTATTATTGTTGTTGTTATTAATGGTGGAATTAGCAGGGGCTGACTTCGTAGGAAGTTTAAAGTCTCCCCGTGGGTCTAACATGAGAAGGCCCCCATGGAATGAGTGGGGAGAGCGCTATATGCAGCCCAGCTGTTTGTTCCCGCCCCACCAGGAACGCCATGTCCTCTCAGAACCCCATCCTCTTCTCTGGTCAGATAAGAGCCTTATCTTATTTTCTGAACTCACAAGGTAGTGGGGGCTCAACATCAAAGGGAGATCATGGGTGAAAACTCAGAGAAAGTGGAAAATCTCTGCCCAGAATCAGGGCCCAGCAGGGAGACCTTGGCTAGTTGCAGGGCATGTGGGATGGAGGTTTGGAGTTGGCTTCATGGAGATGAGGGGCAGGTGGGCTCTCAGACAAGCAGAAGGAGGTGGAGGGTGGGAGTCTGGCCTGTGTCAATGGAAGGGAAGAGGCAGGAGAGCCTGACTGTGGTGGGGAGGAGATTGCAGGGCTGCAGAGGGCAGAGGGGCCAATGCCTGAGCATCCCACAATGCACCAGGCATGGCTGCATATAGCACCCCCTTAATAGTCATAAATAGTAGCTGTTAGTAATCTCATTTGACAGATGAGGAATCTGAGGCTCTGAGGGCTTAAGTAACTTATCTGAGGCCACAGAGCTGGCAGACCCTGGTTCATACTCCACATTTCCCCTCACAGAGGCCACTTCCTTCCCAAGGTGTTGCTGGGAGGTCCTTCTGGATGCACAAGAGGGTGGGCTGAGGGGCAACTGGCCCACCCTAATTCATGCAGATCCCAGCCAAACCCTCACTCCCGACACATTACAAATGGAGGCCATGATAAGGACAATTAAAAAGCTGAGGGAAAAGGAAGGCTTATTAGTGAAGGGAAAATGAGGAGAATTGTTAAGCTCAGAGAAGGGAAACCTGGGGCAGAGGGGGTGCTGCTGGTGGTGGGGGCCCAGGGGCAATCTGGGCAGAGCCCTGAGTTAGCGGTGTGGACGCTGCCTCTGTTCTGTGCTTTGCCTGGTTGCACAAGAAAGACCTTCCAGCTAACTGTGTGGTTTGCTTGAAAAACTGTTGCCTGAGATAGAGTCCCAGCCTGGCCATTCCTGCTTATGGCTGAGAGGTACACTGTGCCCTTCTCGTTATTTTTGGCATCATTTGCATCAATCTGCATGCATTATGAATTCTTTCACCTGTTTAAATTTAGTCAAATTATTATCCTATCTAATAAAAGAGCAATATTCAAATTGACTGTCACTCCAACACACAAGGTGGCCGCCCCCAAGTGGTCAAAGATGGCTGCCCCCGCCAAAACCGGTTTGGCTCAGTGGATAGAGCGTCGGCCTGCGGACTGAAGGGTCCCAGGTTTGATTCTGGTCAAGGGCATGTACCTTGGTTTTGGGCACATCCCCAGTAGGGGATGTGTAAAAGGCAGCTGATCGATGATTCTCTCTCATCGATGTTTCTAACTCTCTATCTGTCTCTCTTCCTCTCTGTGAAAACTCAATAAAAATATATTAAGAAAAAAAAAGATGGCTGCCCCCATGTGAACACAAGATGGCTGCCACAAGATGGCCAGCAGGGGAGGGCAGTTGGGAGGGAGCAGGCCTGCAGCCTGCAAGGAAGGGCAGTTGTGGGGGGACCAGGCCTGCAGGGGAGGACAGTTGTAGGGGACCATGTCTGCAGGGGAAGGTAGTTGTGGGAGATCCTGCCTGCAAGGGAAGGTAGTTGTGGGGGAACAGGCATGCAGGGGAGGGCAGTTGGGGGGAACTAGGTCAGCAGGGGAAGGCAGTTGAGGGGGAACTGGGACAGTAGGGGAGGGTAGTTGGGGGGGCCAGGCCTGCAGGAGAGGACAGTTGGGGTGGGGGGGCAGGCATGCAGGGGAAGGCAGTTGAGGGGAACTAAGCCAGCAGGGGAGGGCAGTTGGGGGGGACCAGGCCAGCAGAGGAGGGCAGTTGGGGTGACCAGGCCAGCAGGGGAGGGCAGTCGGGGGGACCAGGCCAGCAGGGGAGGATAGTTGGGGGGGACCAGGCTGGCAGGGGAGTGGTTAGGGGGTGATCAGGCTGGCAGGCAGAAGTGATTAGGGGCAACCTTATAGGCAGGCAGGTGATTGTTTGGGAGCCAGCAGTCCTGGATTGTGAGGAGGATGTCTGACTGCCTTGTAGGCCTGATCCCATCAAGATCGAGCCCAAATGGGCAGTTAAACATCTTTTGAGAGGTCCCAATTAGACCAAGCTGGGTTGAGGGTGCAAACTGGGTTGAGGAACACCCCTGCCCTCCTCCCAATGCACAAATTTTGTGTACCGGCCTCTAGTATTTTGTAAGTTGTTTATTACTGACATGGTTTTCCCCTCCCTTTTTCCTCTTTCTTATTTCTCCCATCCCTAACCAGGTCTGAATGCCAGCCTCACCTAGGTCTTGACCTAGTGCTTGGAAAGGGGGTTGGATGGAAAGAGCCCTCTACTGTGTGACTTGCAGCAACTTGGTTAACCTCTGTGAATCTTATTTTCACCCCAAGGAGAAAAATGAGAACAAGGACCCCTGCCCTCCTGGGGATAAGAAGTGCCTCTGGAAGATAACAAACTGATGGCAAGTGCAGTGTAGGGCTTGGGGCTGGGTCCAATCTGTAGATTCCAAAGCAGGCAGAGGGCTTGATGAGCAGGTGTCAACAGCTGATTTTACTTTCCTGTGTGCTGGCCTCGGCCCCACATTTTAAACCTGGACTGTGGACTTGCTGAGAGCCATGGGGAGCGGACAGCCGCCTTTCCGAACTAACTGCAGGGGCCCTGGCAGGCAGTGCCTCTATCACCAGCCCTTTGAGGGCTGAAATCCCACCACTGAGCTCACATCTCTGCAAGCTCCCAGCTGCTACTGCAAGGCTGGTCGCTTCTGGAGCAGGATGTGGCACAGAGAAGAAAGCAGGGCTCAGAGGCAGCGGGCCTGAAAGCAAACACAAGCGGTGACTCAGGGCCAGGACTGGGGTGTGGCAAGACAGGCACCTCTCTGGTGCCAACCCTGTGCTCAGGTGACCTCAAGAACCCATGCCTCCTCAGATTTTTTGTCCAACGCTCCTTGTCTACCCTCTTGCTGGCCCTGACTCTGCCAGCGTTACTGTGTGGCTTTGGGTAGGTTATTTACCCTCTCTGATTTTCAGTTTTCCTCATCTACTGTGTTTCCCCGAAAATAAGACATTCTCCGAAAATAAGACCTAGCACATGGAAAGATAAGACATCCCCTGAAAATAAGACCTAGCGCAACTTTGGGAGAAAAAAATTAATATAAGACACTGTCTTATTTTCGGGGAAACAGGATATATAAGGGTGATAATAAGGATTGTTGTGAGATTTAAGTGAGATAATGACTGCGAGGGACCTAATTCAGTGCCTGGAGGGTAGCCAGGGAGAGACAAACAGCAGCTTCTGCTCTGATGAAGCCCATGGCTGAGCCTGCCCACAGCTCTCCACCGGGTGACTTCTGGGAGGCAGAGAGGGAAGGAGCCCCTGATTTCCAGAGAGCAATAGGAGAGCAGGGTGTGGCCTAGGGGGTCAGGGGTCAAAGCTGTTCACCACTGCAGAGACCCCCAACCCTACGAATGGTGCCACACAAACTTGTGTGGGAGTGATCACCTCAGCTGGAATCTCGAAGCTTTCTCCCCACCCCCTGTAAACAGTTTATTTTTGATGGCTGACACATTAATTTACCTGCCACTCAAATGGGGAATCTGACTCGCAGCCATTCCAATTTCTCGGAAATTATAAGATACTGTTCTCAACAAGCTGAGGCTGTGTTTTTTTCCCCCTCAGCGAAGGCCCCCGGTCAAAATGGATGTTTATTAGGTTTGTGTTTTGTGTTATTGACTGTGAGCTATTGTTACCTGCTGTAATTGAGTTGTGAATCTTTTTAAAATAAAGAATTAGCAGCAAATCAAAGCAGCTGCCTGCTGGATGCTGAAACAGGAGCACAGCTGGCTGTAGCTTGAAGGCTGCGTGGACTCCTCACCCTGAGAGGAGTTGGGTGGGGTGGGGTGGGGGAGGAAAGGGGAGGGGAAGGAGGGCGTGGACCCTACTTGAACGAGCATGGAGCACCTGGGTCTCTCCTGCACCCCACTCTGGGCTCCACCTCTAATTCCCAGCAGGGCCTTGGGCAGGCCCTTTCCCTCCTCTGAGTCTCCGGTTTCCTCCTCCGGGAATCAGGATGGAAGACCTGCCCTGCCTGTCCTCACCCACAGGAGGTCAGCGAGTGTGCGCAGAGCGAGCGGGGTCAGGGGGAAATGCCTGTTCAGGTGTAACCAGATTACACAGACAGGTCATGTGAGCCACCAGGAGGCACTCCTGGGTCAGCGGTGAAGGCCAATTGTCAAGGCACCTGCTCCTCACTGTCCAGTTCTAGTCCTGATGGCACCTGTGAACAAGGTGCTCTTCTTGCCTACCAGACCAGGGTAGCCCTACAACTGCAGGGTCCGCCCGCGCCCGCCCAGGAATATCGCGCCGCACCGCCCCCCCCCCCCCCCCCCCATTCCAGTTGGAGGAGATCTCAGGGACTCTCTACAACCCCGCCTCCTTCAGATGGGCGGAGCCTGAATGCACTCGCAGAGAAAGGGGGAAGCACACTTTCAAGGTCACATGGTGTAAGGGGCAGAAATAAACCCAATCTGCATACTGCCTGCAGCCCATCGATCTCCTCAGTCTTCCTCTCCTGACTTGCCCTGCTCTGTGCTCTCATGGCGATGGCTAGCTGCACAATTAGGCTGACATTAATCATGACTTGTCACTCTCTTCTATAATATAATGGTCTAGAACTTGACTGGTATTGTGGACTGTTATTTAACTTCCCTGCCCTGTGGACTTTCCAAAGTCCGTGGCACCCCAGAGACTCAGTCCTCTCTTTAAGTCCCACAGCACCTACTCAGTGCCCAGCTGTCTATGGATTGGGCGGAATGATGGTGTCACCCAGCTGTACATGCTGCCAGGTGAGGATGAAGCGAAGTTCAGAAACACATCAGTAGGTTCCATGTGTGCAAACTCTCCGCAGATAAAAAAAATCTGAAAAAACGTTACCTTGTTGGTGACATGCACTATGCCCACGAATGGTAGTGTTGGTACTGAACATGTATGGGCATTTTTTTTCTTGTTATTATTCCCTAAACCATACAGTATAAAAGCTATTTGCAAGCATTTTCATTACTTACAGTACTGTTCGTAATCTAGAGAGGATTTAAATCATACATATGTAGTTCATATGCAAATACTATGGCATTTCCCATAAGGGACTTGAGCATCCTCGGCTTTGGGTATCCAAAGGAACCCTGAAACCAATTCCCCTTGGACACTGAAGGAGGATTGCCTCTGTGACAGCCTTTCGTTGGTTAAAGAACAAAGATTCAACAACAGCAACCCCAACCCAGTGCTTTTCGACAGGATGCTATCTGAGGCCAATTCAACAGAATCCTGCAGATCAAATTCTCCCATCTGGACACTTCATGGTGTCCTGCCTCAACAGCATGTGTATGTTTCCAATGAGTGTTCGCCAGGCAAAGCTGGTCTCAGTGTTCCAAAGAGAGAAATAGGAACGGCTCTTGATTAGGGCCGGGCTTATGTCAACATGGTGCGGCAACCCTGTGGCAATCCTTTCGGATCAGAAACCTGGCTAGACTTAGATACGGTTATAATTCACACCAGATGGGACAATGGATTAATTTTTATCTAATAGTGCAGTTTTCTGGCAGGCAAAATCTTTTTAAATATGGGGCCCATCTGAGGAAGTCAGGAGAAAGTCCTGGGAAGCAGGGATGTCAGAAACGAATGTCTGCGGGATCGGTCTGCTCCCGGCACTGCTGTCTCTGGCCATGTGGCGTCAGGCCAGAGCAAAGCTTCTCTCACTCCGCAGGTGGAGACAAGGGAGTGTCAATAACAACACCACCTCATCACTATACGGAGGGGAAATGCCCAGTGGATCTTCAACAAACATCCATCCCCTTCCCCCTTTTTTCCTGCTCTGGGACAGGGGTGTCCACAGAAATGCAGCTGGGAGGAGGGGGGCCTGGCCAGCTCGGGGCGGTGGGGTCAGGGTGGTGCGTGTCTTTGGCCATTTTAGCAGCTAATGTGATTGCAGGCAAACCTCGTTATTGCATTCCTGCCCGATGGCATTTAGAAAGCACTTAGGGCTCTCCCTGAAACACTTTTACCTCGAGATCCCCGGAGCAGCTGCCTCTTTTCTTCCCAGGGGGCTGAGGCTATGCTGGGGCTCAGGGGCTGCAGGAGGGAAGGGGAACTCAGTTCCCACCGCCCAGCCTCCGGGGACATTCACACCAACCGGGACATCACTATGATACTTCCTGTTTAAACAGCCTGGCTGTGCGGTGGGAGGAGCCACAGTGAGGCCCTGTTCCCAAAGTTCAGGGGCTAGGAGGGGATGTCTGGGCTGTGGGAGCCTCCTGACTCTCTGATCCTCAGTTTCCTCATTTATAAACTGACTGCAGCCCTGATCTTGCCCAAGTCTGACCTGACTCAGTGGTTCTCAGGATTGCATCAGCAACATCTGGGAACTTATCAGAAATGCTATTGTTTAAAAAAAAATTAAAAAAAAAAAATATATATATATATATATAATCTTTTTTAAAAAAATAAATTTTATATATTTCAGAGAGAAAGGAGGGAGAGGGAGAGATAGAATTATCAATGATGAGAGAGAATCATTGATCGGCTGCCTCCTGCACATCCCTCACTGGGGATCGAGTCCACAACCTGGACATGGGCTCTTGACTGGAATCGATCCCGGGACTCTTCAGTCTGCAGGCTGACACTCTATCCACTGAGCCAAACCGGCTAGGGCCAGAATTTCTATTCTTGACCCCACTCTAAGCCTACACGGTCAGATGCCCCAAGAGCAGGCACAGCCACCTGCGCCTTAACCAGCCCTGTCATCCTCATGCCCACTGGGAACCACTGGTCTAAGCTCTACCACTAGCGCTGCTTGATGGCCTCACAAAAGCCCAGGGGAGTCATCGGCCTCCCTCCAGCCTAGCCTTGCTGTAAGGCAGGGGTAGGGAACCTTTTTTCTGCCGAGGGCCATTTGGATATTTATAACATCATTCATGGGCCAAACAAAATGCTCAACTTAAAAATTAGCCTGCTATATTTGATACAATCTTTAATTAATGCCTAATGCCTTGGCAGGGCCAGACCAAATGATTGGATGACCTTATACAGCCCGTGGGCCAGACGTTCCCCACCCCTGCTCTAGGGGAATTCCGTGGGCTTGGGGTTGGACAAAGACAGAGTTGAACAGCTACTTCCCTTGAGAACAGTGAAGTCCTGGGAAAGGAGGCACAAGGATAACGTGGTCCTTCAAGTGCATCGCACTTGTGTTCCCAGATGCTTGTCCATGCACTGCCTTATTGGAACAGCACCAAGTACGATCCAAAGAACAGAAATAATTACAATTATGAATAATAAGGATAAAGCATGTTCTGAAGCCAGCTCACGCTTGCAGATCATCTCCACAAAGAGTTTGTGGGCCCTTGGAGAATAGAGGATGCATCTTCCTTGCTGCCCTATTTCGTCATCTCCAATCTCCCTTTCTGCAGTCCTTACAATGGGCCAGAGTCTGTGGCCTCTGAACTTTGGTGTGCCACCCAGGCACCCGGGCACATGCACCCATAGACAGGACCCCAGTCCTCTGCCCCTCGGCTGCCCCCTCCCCCATACGCACCTGTAGGTGTCGGTGGCTGGCACCTTCCAGGTCTGGATGCCCTTGAGGGGGCCCTCGCTCCCCACCACCACGCTCAGGTTGGTGTTCCGGTAAGCATTGTTGCACTGGGCCTGCGTGGGGCCGTGGGGCCCACTGGCCCCACACGTGGTAAATAGCCAGTGAACTGTGACACAAGAAGAAAGACAATCACTCACATGGCCCGACTCACGTGGGCCTCTCTGGCTGCCTTCGAGCTTTGTGCTCCATGGCATTAATATGGCACCAAGATCATTAGCATGAGATCAAAGAGGAGGCAACCAGCTACAACAAGGGCAGTAAAAAGATATCGTGAGAGAAGGTCTGTTCCAGGAGAGATAGGTGCAGGCAGTGGTGGTACCCTACCCCGGTGACTCATCAAGTCCAGTGCAGTCTTAGGCAAACAATAAGCATGTAACCTGTGTTGGCATCTTCATGTAGGTTCCTCTTAGTGTGGAGAAGATTGAAAGAGTAACCTGGACACAGAATCAGCTCCATGACCCCTCCTGGCTTGGGGACCCAGGACCATGGGATTAGGAAGACCTGTAGTCCCAGCTGGCTGAAGTCTCTGTCTGTCAGGCTCCAACAGGCTCAGCCTCCTTAATCATAACCACTGGGGTTTAGAACTGCAATAAGCAGCTCTTGGGCTCTTGATTATTTTTAAAAACATATTTTAGACCTCCGTTTTGGTCTTCCTTAGTAGGCTCTGAGCTTCCTAGTGCCAGGATCCGTATCCGCTCCATCTACCTGACCATGTCTCATCTGACCCAGGGCCTGGCATATAATTGACCCTAACAGCAGTTTCCAGGTTGAGTGCCTAAGAGCTGCCTAAGAGAACCTCATTTGGTTTTGGGGGGCCACATTGTTTTTGGTGCTTGCCCTCTTTTTCTAAGCCCCTCGCCACTGCCTGGGATCTGTCACTGCCTGGAGCACCCCATGTCCTTAATGACCTTTGGGGCATCTCTGGGTCACTCAGCACACCCCACCTCTACACCGCCACTGGGCCGCCTCCTTCCACACTTTCTGCCTGTGAGTCAGATCTCATATTGGCTGGAATTCTAACATTTTTATAACCTATAAAAACTTTAAAATACTGTGCTCTTGATAAATGGCTTTGACTTCAAATACAAAAAAATGTCACTATAAGATTAAAGAAATTACTTCCCTTTAAAGAGATTACGTCAAAGCCTACCTATAGGAAATTATGGAAAGATTAATTTGGGCATATATAGTTTTGTTCACTAAAACCGTTAAAGTAAAATTTTTTTGGGAAACTTTCAAATAACTTAATGATGCAAAAATGAAAGATTAGTTTGGGCTACTAACTACAGGCGAGCAGATTGGGCTCACATTGGGCAGTGATGGTCATCTGAAACCTGGGCCAGGTGTGGCGGGCTCTGAGACACTGCCCTGGCTCCAGGTCCGGAGAGGAAAGAGGCATAAGGCTGCCCAACACTTTTCCAGACTTCATTGTTTTTTAAATGAAGATGTTGATTTCTGTCTGGTTTCTTAAGGTTGTTTCAAGGGCAAGAAGTTGATGAATTCTTTGGTGTGAATGGCTGAATGTTAATTTTCTGATCTATTTGATTTATAAAGGGGTAACCTGTTAATTCCAAGTTGTAACTCTTTACTGAAGGCATTTTAGCAGAGAGGCTCTCTTGCCCAAATCTTATGTGTGGGCTGTGCTGGGAGTGGAGGTGGGGGTGGGGGTGTGTGGGGAGGTGGGGACCTGGGGGAGTGGGCTGTTTGAAATGGAAAGGAGACAGGCTTTGAAATCGGCAAGGACACCTGAGTTTGGAATAGTCTCATCACTTACTAACTGTAGAGACCTGGATCGAGTTCCTTCATCTGTAAAAGGGGCTGCACTGGCATTAGAATTAAAGGAAGCAATGGGTATGAAAGGTCATTGTAAAGTTCAAAACTCTAAACATGTGAGTTGTGTCAATGAATCCTGCCTACACCCAAGGCTGGTGCTGTTGTAACGAATAGGAGATACGGCGATGGGAGTGTCTGTGAATGTGAATAGATCTCTGCCAGCAGCTCCTAGGAATTTAAACTTAGTGGGTTGGGGATGAGGACAGGTGCAGGGAGTTGAGAAATCTACTCCTCCCATCATCTCTAGTCTATTCTCAGGCCCAGTCTGTGCCTACAGCAAGCATCCTGGGTTTGGGGACAGCCTCAGCCTCATCAATCAGGGTAGAGGCATAATTTGTAAATAAATATAATTTACAAATTATATATATGAATATATATTTCATTTGATTAGACAAGTATGATTTAATAGGGTGTCCCAAAATATATACACACAATAAGGGCAGTGTTTATTAACATACATTTCATTTCCAAAATTGAGCTATCAGCTTTTAAAGAGTGTATACCTTTTTTGAGACTAACATAACCTAATGTAAGGTAACATAACAACATAAATATTTCCCTTTATGTGTGTGCTGAGAAAGAGAGCTAAAGGTGTGGGCTTGGCACCCTACCCTAATAATACCTACTACTTAGACTTCCTGTTGGCATTATATTATGACCTAAGCAAAGGGCAACATCTGGCATTAGAGAGGATCAAATGGCCGCACGGAGGAGCCTGGATTGGAGGCAGGGAAGGAAGGAAGGCTGGCTCTGCTCTCCTTTCTTACTTTGAAAGCAAAACAAAAAACTATTGTGTTAAAACTCATTTATGGAGTTTTATCTTGTTCTTACTTATCATTTATCTTGTTTTTTTTTTAACCACACACTGAAAGCCTAGTTTAATATTCACTCACATCTAAATTGTATAAAGAACTCACAAACATCAAAATACTGATTGGTTATAGACATGTGAGTAAAGAAAAATCCATTAAGCCCTGGGTTTTATTTTAAGTATATTGCAGAACCCTCTAAGAAAAAACAAATCAATTAGTAATACACAGCACAATGCTGAAAAACCAGTGATTGTACTGGTTTTATTACTGTTGTTAAGCCATCTTGTCTGCTCAACTGAATGCAAAGAAATAAAGCACGATACGAAAGAAAATAAGTTCTCAACTATGGCTGTTAATCGCAATAATGAGGATCTGCCTCATGTCGAATGCCGAGGGGGTTGTATCACAAAAGAGCACTCAAAGGCTCATGAAAACCTTTTGTACCATTAAAAAAAAAAATCCTCACCTGAGGATATTTTTTCCCACTGATTTTCAGAGAGTGTGGAAGAGAGAGAGAGAAAGACAGAGAGAAATACTGATGTGAAAGAAACACATTGATTGGTTGCCTCTTGCATGCTCCCTCATGAGGGCCCAGGCCAGGGCTGAGCCAAATGGGCTGGGGCCTTTTTGTACCGTTTTGTACCATTTTGATTCTGATCCTTGGAACTGAAATTTACCCTTATCTGTTGACTAAGTTGGACTTCATGGGACCTGTGGTATTAATATATCAAACCATTCTGATAACCAGTATAGATCCCATTACATCAAACCAGGACCAAAATCCAAGTAAATATAATCATTCATCATCCATAATGTATACAACACCATACTTTATGGTCAACTTCTTTGGTTTTTGTCTTCAGGCACTCCTGTTATCTGTATGTTGCATCTTCTTTGTCTAGCTCTGATGAATGTCATCTTTTTTATTTTTTAAACATTTCTCCTTTTACCTTCTATTTCTTATAAGGCATTAACTGTTGTTAATGCCACACACACACACACAGTTCATTTGTGCAAAGCTTTCCAATCGTTTTTTTTCTCGGGGTGTTTTTTGATGAGAAGTTAGCAGGTAGTAACATCAGTAATTGTAACACTAGCCCTGTCTTTTGTACTGTGTTCACACACGTGATCTCTTTTTCCTTTTGCCATCATTGTCTCCTTTGCTCACACACAGTTCCTCTAGACAGACAGAATGCCCGAAAATGCTGAGGTCTCCCAGGAATAAACGCCAGAGGCCCAGGGCCCTCTCTGCTGGGAGGAAGACATTGTTTCACTGGAGGAACCTCCCAGTGAGTCAGCTCCCCAACAACAGGGCAGTAAGTCAGGGCTGTTGAGATAAAAGCTGCTTTCAGAACCGAATTACCCTAAACAGCTCTGACATTGGCAATTGGAGGGAGTTACTAATGGCGCCTGGGATGGCTGCTGTGCTGCTGTGCTCTTAGCCACCCCTGCTCCCTGAGGGAATGCCAGTAACATGCAAGAGAAGAGAAAGGTCACAGGGAAAAACACTATCCTGAAAGCAGAACTGTCAAAATTAAGTTAAGGGACGCCTTGGAGCTAATTTGGTTATCCCCAAGTTGGCTTCAGGCCAGAGCTGTGTTAAATATGTGATATTGAGATGGGTGCTGCGGACTCACCCATCTGGTGGTTACACATAATGGATGTGGTTTGAGAATTAAGTGGGAAGTGGTTATGGTCCAAATCTGAGCTTCGCCACACTCAAGCCTGAAGCATCATTGATTTCTGCCTGTATCTGCTCTGTCCCCTGAGTGGGGAGAGAAAGCCTTGGTCTAGGCCAGTGGTTGGCAAACTGCGGCTCTCGAGCCACATGTGGCTCTTTGGCCCCTTGAGTGTGGCTTGGCGTTAGAACCACTTCTTCAAAATAGACTTGCCAGGCTGAAAACCCACTTCTGTGCATGGACCACGAAGTTTCAATCACACTATACGTGCATGTCCACATGTGGTATTTTTGGAAGAGCCACACTCAAGGGGCCAAAGAGTCCTATGTGGCTCATAAAACGTGGTTAGCTGACCACTGGTCTAGACCATGAAGGGTGAAACCCTTATAAGGCTTTTGTGACTGTAACACCTCTGGCAGGTGGGCTGACGGAGGCACAGGAGCCCAAGAGGCCTCGTGATTTGGAGCTAGGAAGAAAGCATGTCCTGGCTCCTGGGTCTGGGGCCCAGACCCTCTAAGATAAACTGGAGAGCGGAGACACATGAAAGAGGGAAATCCAAATGTCAAGAACAGAAAGAAAAATAGTAGGTGGAACACACACTCCTTTGAATACCCACACCCACATTACTGAAATACAAGGAGCCCCGCAGTCTGTAAGAAAACACTTGAATCTTGCTCCTTAGCAGTGTGGACACTCCACTGACCTGATGGCTGATGGAACTGATCAGTTGATTTACTGAATGGATTTGTTACTAGAATCAAAGTCACAAAGCTGGTTGAGAG